CTTACTTAATGCTTACAACTACTCGGTGGAAACTGGGACAATGAGCAAATCACAATCTAGGGGAATTATAAAGCGGCTTCCAAAACAAGAACAGAATGATTAAAGAAATTTTATCGAAAACTACAGACCCATTCATTACCTTATTGAACATTGACTATAAAATTACATCCAAGAGCATAGCTAACAGACTGAAAAATGTAATACAAAATTTGATTCATCATGATCAAAAATGTTTTATTAAAGGAAGATACATTGGGGAAAATGTAAGATTATTTCCATAACTTTCCACGTTAAATTTGCTTTGCCAGCAGTACCTACAAATGACCTATTATTTAGATTAATAAGACATCAAGTCCAAAATGTACATTCTGTGAAAGGCATGTCGAAACTGTGTTACATTTATTTTATTTCTGTAAATTTGTGCAACAATTTTGGGAAATTTTTAATGCATAGCTAACCGTTGAATATGGGTTAATTAAATCTTAATCTGACATATTGAGAAATTTTAATGGGGGTAGGGCAAAACCAAGGTATAAACTGTGTTTTACTAAGTGCAAGATACTATATTTATAAATGTAAACTACGTTATGAAAGGCCTCAATTTGATCGATTAAAAGTGCAATTGTATTTATCGTGTGTATGAAACGTGATGTTTTCATGAATAAAAAAAACTAAATAAATAAAAAAAAAACTCAAAGACTCTCTCAGTCAGTCAAGAACGGTTGTCATCAACGTGTGTCACAGTTTCGAAAGATTTTGCTACTGTGGTTGTGAATGAATCAGAAGACTCGGGGGTTCCGGATCGGTTGTTTATTGTACGGCAACTCCAATATATTACAAGCATATAACAGCCAAACAAAACATAACTGAAAACATGACCGACCGTCAGCCCAGCGGCCGGAGAAAGAGAACGAAAGACACAGTTTTTGCCTCGCACGTGGTGAGTGGTCAGTGTCCAAATCCGACAAAACAGCATTAATAAGGGTCAACCTAACAGTCTATAAACATGAAAAATATATATACACACAATATAACATGGCAGCATAAGTGAAAGAAAATCAAAGTTGGCACAAATGAAAGGGAACACACACTATAACGCAAAAAATTTAATCAGAGTCGCAATCTCTCGAGTTTAAGTCGCTTTCAAATGTAGCCAGAAAATTATAGCCCAGATTGTTTTCTTTCTGTGGCCACATGTCTTTCATCTCAGCAATTGGGGAAAATGTTCCCTCTCGGATTGACTTCTCCCCGCAGGGCTCCCGCTCCAATATGCAATGGTTACTGGCTCATACTGACCACACACAATGGGATTCTAACACTTCAGGGCTCCACTCCTGAAGTCAATATACAATATGGGACATCAATCCCACTTTCGAAAACCGGTCACAAAAGTCCAGCCAGCCTCAACCATCGCATGCAAATCAAGCTACCATCATTACTCAAAAGCTCACTCATGTGCCAAACACATTTTTCTACAGCAAGGGGGTGCAATTTCATTTCCCAAACTCTGCTGCAACTTGGAACACACAGTCTTTCCACTACTGGGCATTTTCGACCGGCTTATCGAGCTCACTTGTACGTGCATGCTCAAAACAATGTATGAAATATTCTTGTCAGCCATTACCACCCGGCTTCTCATCCCCGCAGTCAATCAGTGCAAAACAAATAAAAACGCATTACACAAGGTATTCAACCCGAAAGTCTTAACTTCAAAGAAATTTGTTTTTGACATCATTAATGGTCCATGATCTGCTACTGGCCAGGGTAGACTATACCGTGCATTCACCTCCACCGCCAGATGAAGACACAAGTCATGGTCCGCTTGAAAACAGTTCCAGAAGTTGACGTTTCCGGCACACAATTCCTCCATGCTGAGATTCGCTTCATTTTCTGACCTTCGAATTTGTTGTCAATGATTTCCGCCAAAACCGTCGCCGTGCTCGCCATTGACACAGTAACAGGATGTAATCCTGGCGTGCTCGCCGTTGTCACGGTAACAAGATGTTGATCAAATCCTGACGTGCTCGCTATTGTCACAGTTTCAAAGGATGTTGGTTGCTACTGTGATTGTGGATGAATGAATTTAGTCTAAACGTGTCTCACGATAAATTAGGTTACGTAGTGAATATAATCTACTCCTCGAGCGTAGATTTTAAAATTAAATCATCGTCAAAAACGCCGTTTTGTCGCTATAATTCAATAAAGCGTCGCGGACCGGATCTAGATCGCGTTGCCGATCCCTGGTCTACGTGAACTACCTTACGTCGGGAAGTAGACCAGCAATCCTTTCGCGTGTGATTATCGCCCACGGGATCCAAACCTGCGAACGCACACAGAGTGCAGTAATCAAGTGCACGATGCGCCAGACGCCGAGCAAGTTTTGCGAAATCGACCCCCTATCGCCCACTTTGGGAATCACTGAATTCTAATCCATGGATAAAACCACGCACACATTGATAAAACAGACAAAGATATTCGCGTTGCGAGTTTCTGCAGCTACACACTCCAGTAGGGTCATTTGATATCGGTATACATTGCGCAGCGATAAGCGACGACGGACCTGGGTAAAATTTTCAGACAGTAACCCTTTTTTCGAAAATCGATCTCGTCATACGAATTACGAAATAATAGAGAACAACGGTTTGTATTTAGTAAAGCTTCAAATTAAATTCGTCGTTTTCTATCATTTAATGCATTTGTTGCCAATGCCCGGAGAGTCAATGACCTCGGTTCTCGCTGTGCCATAGGCTAAAGCAGTGATTCCCAACAGGGAGCAAATAAATGGTAAGAGGCGATGGCGTTAATTTAGCATAAACCCCACCGATTTACCCCAATTTCAGTTAAAATATGAACACAAAGTTATGTTTTCCCAAATTTCTAACAAATACTTTTGTAGGAATCAAATTATATATATAACTTTAGCTTTTAGGAACATGTTGCGTCATTTTATTATCAAATCAAAATTCATTTACTCGGGATATTTTAACACAAATTAGAATAATTAAACTTAAGTTCTCATCCGTACGACGTACATAATTACCCATATAAGATAATTATAGCTTCTGTTTATATATATAACGAGAATCACAAGATTGCGTTTCCATTTCCAATATTCTTGACAAATCTTTCAATGGAAAGGTCGTCTATATAGAAGTTATAAGATTGTATACTGTGTATCGTGTGAATTTATGAATACAATTGAATAAGGATTTTAACGTATATTCATTAACGTTTGCGCTGAGAGGTGAACTGAGAGGTCAGAGACGGTCCGCGAGTTTACAATATTCCTGGACATCCCACATATTTGCTGCAGGCGCATTTCGAGAGACAAGAATATCGACAATAGTCTTGAGTTAGGTTCCGTTCTGACCGGATTGTATACTATATATCTGTCTGTATTATGATTTTCACAGACTTGTATTGTATTGAATTTATCCTCATATAAATATTCAGTTTTTTTTAAATTTGGTACTAGGATGACAGACAAAAGACAATACGACAAAGCTATCGTTGAATAAGCTAGACTGCAGAGCCCTTCAAACTTGGTCTCCCGATCCCAAGATGGGTCGCGAAGGTGCCCAATAGGTGTTAAAAATCTTCTTTGACACTGATGTAATGTTAACAAAATATCGATCAAATTTGAAACCAGTACTGAGACCCACCTTCGCCGAAATAGATCAGAGATTCTATCTTTTGTGCGAAAATAGCCACATCGGTCATATTAAAGGGATTATGCATGTTAATTTATTATTTTTAAATATTATCTGTATTAATAAATTTTACTTTTTGGCCGTGCCAAGTGGGCCGTGATGAAAAAAGTTTGAAGAACACTGTGCTATAGAGCAGGGGTGGCCAACTTGCTTTCGTTCGCGATTGACTGAAATCTTCAACAAAACACCTCGCGATCGACTAATCGGTAATGAGGTCATAAACTAAAATGAATGAATACTGTATACCAAGATAACCGCACACACGCATACAAAAATTCCACCGCTGCTCGGTAATAATAAGCTTGGTTCTGCGGGCGCATTCTCAATGAAATTGCCTCAAAAATTTGCATTTTATATATTCCATTCAATTTGTTAATTTGAATATATAATTGTACCTGGAGTAAATGTTTCATTATTTATTTTAAATTTATTCAAATCATACAATTCAGATATAGGGCCTGTCTAATTTTTAGGAGTAAGAGTTTTCAATTCCTCCAAAAACCTTGAAAAATATCCATGTATTATTATCACAAACCTGCTCAAACTTCAGTATCTAATTTACAATTTTCTTCAAATCCACTTTTTTGCTTGCTTAGAATTCGAAAAAAATTGGGCATTCTGATGCCACTGCTACCGGTGCGAATAAAATTTATCACACATACTCTTGGAATGAGACAATAACTTTCGCATAGTGCAGAAATTATTGTAGGATCGTTTGCCAGTCAAGACACACGATATTTTGCAGATTCATTTCTAAACTTTGGCAGCAGTGAAACTTGCATTTATTACGTAATGTCGGTAATGATATGCTCTATCGGGCTTGTCCATACCAAATTACTGCATGTGTATATCGTATTTTGCGCATGTACAGTACTATATTCTTCCTGTTTAAAACATACAACAGGCGCTGTATTAAACCGGTTCAAGGCAATTTTTTTGGGTATGTTATTAAATATACTCAACATCAGACGCGATCGACTCATCGAAACGTGGCGATCGACCGGTCGATCGCGATCGACTTGTTGGCCACCCCTGCTATAGAGCATACTAGTGCACAATGCGGTATACGGGATAATATAAAAGTGTTGGTAGATTGTGACTTTCTGTATAGCGCTGGGTTCATCCCGATCGACGTACTTAAATTTTGAGACCTCTAGGCTAGAGCGCCATCGATGATCCTAGTTTTGAGACGAAGGGCAGGATACATCACCGCCATATTCTAGCACTGCAACAACAGTTTGAATGAATATACATAATGAAGTAGTCAGTTGTGCAAGAAATATTTTTTAATGTACACGTATATGTATACTGTATTAGGCTTGTCCATGGGACATCTTTTTCTGTCTCATCTCATCCCATAGCAATTTATGCCTGTCCAATCCCATCCCATGGGATTCCCATTGGAATACAATTCGATAAAAATTGTTATATTTAGGTTTAGCGTCTACTAAACAGGACTACATATACGAAGAGACATGCAAAGCAACAATATTTACTGACTTTGTTAACTTTGGATTCAAAATTATTATACATGCGATCATCAGCCCCTTCCACAAGTATATTGTTAATGCTGAATATATTTTGCTCTTTATAACTAACAAGAGAGCTATACCCAAATATATGGACACGAAATTCATTACGAGTGTTTTATCATAATTTCCTAAAAAATCCTCCGTTATTTCTTGTCCCACGTTTCCCATGGACAAGCCTGGTATTATGTAAAAGTTGGCAAATAGAAAGATAGTTAGGTTGCATTTTAAACTTAACTCGAGTTTGTCCAAAATAGCCTATAATAGTCTCATCAATCTCTTATTAAAGACCAGATGCTACTGCATTGTCGACTTCATTCCGTCTCATATAAGTAAAATAATAAATCATTGTTTTAAAAGCATGTGTCTAACAAAAGCTACTATGAAACACATTATTATAAGTATTGGGGGAACGATACATCCAATAATGAAGTCACGTCCAAACATCGGATCCAAACCAATTATCATTTCATTTATGGACTGATGTATATTGGAAGTGTTGAATCCTGATAGACCGACATACCCCGATAAATCTCCCGTAACCACTCCGTGACGTATCCTTTTTTCCACAGATTGCATTGCTCCTTGACTTATTACTTTTATAAATTTTTGTGGACTATGGATGATATGTGAGGATCCCGCGGCGTAAGAAACCATTCCCATCGTTGCCGTCCATGCTAAAAAGTCAATTAATACTTTATTAACGCAAACTCCACTTGCATTCTTAAAAATTCAATAAATATTAGAATACTGTACCGGTATTTACAGAAGAAGTAGTATCCAGCGTAATCACAGACTGCGCTATTTCAGTTATTCATCCTGATTTTAAGTTCATGAAATTTTCACATTTCCAAACATATGAAAACAGTCAAATGTAATTTACTTACTCGCGTTGACCAGCAAAATCAAGGCAATTTTTATGTGTCTTTGAGTTCTGAGCATTCGCTTCCGTGTTTTTGTTTCTCGACAAATTGTTAAAATAATTGGGATCATAAATGTCAAGCAGCTCACAATGGAAATCATCAGAAAAATGGCACAGAAAATAACAGAGCCTGATGACACTGAATCAAAGTAAATTAAGTTCGCTCATTATCAAGAAACATAACAAATAAATATTATAATAAATACCATTATATAACAAGTATTACCCAGTACCAGTAGCGACACTGAAGTTTGTGAGAGAATCGCTTGATTTCAATCTATGCGAAAATGAAATATAGCATCATATATACAATATCATGAAATAATAATATTAACAAAAGAACCATGCTTGAATTTATAGACACGAAAGTCAAATGACTAAGATAGCCTATTATGCTATCTACTCATATATATACTTGTTATCTGATCATTCGAATACTCAAGTCGAAAATCACAAATCAAATCCGATAACGTAGCAATTCACGTCAATGCCCGTGTGGCCTCACTGTCTGTAGAAGAGGTGGCGGACTTATCGGAAATCGATGATGGAATGCTAACATTAAAAATCAAAAAAGTGTTAACGCGAAGTGAAATAAAACAGAAAGTTTTGGGTGAAATATCGGTTTCCGTAAGCCTCGGCAAAAATTAATCAAATAAATAACGTAGTCGCCTTCAATAAAATTTGATCCATAGATAACTCACTATTAACTTCCAATGATATACTCGTTAAGTCTCCGAATTTTACAGATAACTGGAAAAGCCCACAATGCAAGCATATTTTGCTTCCTCTGAGCTTCGAAACTATGTTGTTAAAACGTTCTTTCAAATCCTCATTGGAAACTTGCAAGGATTTGAGTTGTTCATGAATGGGGTCAAATGCAATGCATCCCTGAAAAAACGAAAATGGATGGTCTTGTTGTAATTAACGGACTGTAATTAAATGGATGAGTGAAACAGACATGATTTCTTTAATAAAAACCTCTGTATTTATTTCCAGTACGGTCTAAAATACCATTCCATTAAAATGACTTCCTCAATAAAAACCTCCGCATTTATTACCAGTACGGTCTAAAGTACCATTGCATTAAAATGACTTCCTCATTAATGTGCGCACGGACTATGACATGTTTTCATATACACGCAGCATTATATATTACCATATGTTGCAGCAATTGTTAGAAATTTTGAATGAAATAAAAGACACCACTATATAAAAATTACATATAAAAATAATAATATTAGGATGATAGATGCCCTGATTAGGTTACAAAAATATATAAATACTACTTAGCAGAGTTTTTAAATGTGGGGAAAAGCCACTGGGCGTCTGTAATTGAAATTATTTTGTAAACTCTTTTACGCTAATGTATATGTCGACGTATCATTTCATGTATACACAACCTTTCTAACATGCTTCGTTACGTGCAAACATAGAAGATTTATTAACTTACATTTATCCAATCCGTTGAAGACATGGCAAAAATCATTAGTAAACATGCTACCGATGTAAATGCTACGGCAATAATATATGACAGTTTAAATTTGTTCATATTTATCTCTGAACAACTTCCAACTACTATAGACATGTATATCATATGTATCTACAACAGTGTGTATATGATAAAGTAATGCAGCAAGTCACATACCGACATAAGTTTCCTAGTTTTGTACCCGTAACACAACAATATGACATCAATGGTATAAATTTTAATATATACGATACACGAATAAACGTAAATTTAAAAAAATAAAACATTAATAATTCCTATACAGCAATATAAGCGCCTTGATATTGCAAAGAGAGTGCAGTTACACTTGGATCATGCAATGATTTTAAAGTTATTAATTATCAAATCTCCAGGGATTCGATCTGTTTTGCTGAACGATCGCTGGACTCGGAATCCCCGAAGGCCAAACATCACAAAAATAGAAATGGTTTTGTCTGCACATGCGTATAAAGAACTTCAAAGTAATAGTGCGTATTTTCAACAGTCAGCGCTCGAGTTCATAACAGGTATACAAAGATACACGGTATCGGAGTTATGTGCGGTCTCATTCATAAAATTTAACGGAATATGGAACTGCCTAGAAGGCTTATAAAAGAAAATGATTTAAGTGACTGAAATATCTGGTGTTTTGATGTTCACTTGGGTGTTACGCTTTTTTATTTGCACCGTTTTCTCATTAAAGTACGAATTTGGTGCTCGCCCTATTAAATAATCCGGAAACAATCTCCTACTCTATCTGAAAAGCACGTTTTGGTTTACATTAACATATTGTAATTTTACCCCGTGTTTGGGATCATATTTCAAGTAAATGAATTTTTATTCGCGGAAATTATGATACAATACGTTGCGCATGGGATTTCACTGGAAACGTTACCAGAATTCAGGCCAGTTCGAATACCAATAGTAGTATCATAAATTCATTTTCACAAAACTGATCTGACAAACGGCTTTTACCATTTAAAAAAAAGATCTGATGTTTCATTCAAAATCTGGTACGATAACAGTAAGTTAATGTAAAAAGTATAGTACTTTATTTTAATCAATACTAATGTTGTGAGTCGAATCATTCAGCATTTTATCTCACGTAGGAAAAGGACGCATGAGTCATCATTGTCACAGGACTTGGTACAGGTGACGGTACCAGTGAGTTACAATGGGTTCGCAAGTTTTGTTACCGTAAGTGCTGAGCATATCAAATTTCTAATAGTGAAGTGAAATTCATTTCATATACCAGTACCATCAAATTGCCCAACTTTGAACACATATTTTTTTCTAAAAGCGCAGTATCAAGCATTATATGTGTAGACCTATTTGATAATAGCACCATCACATTGACCAAATTCTAGTATATTGGCAATGTCAATCATTATAGCAAGTGCTGTGTGCTAACTTGTTCGAGTATTCGATAAAAGTTTCAAGTTATGTATTTGTTAATGACAATCATTATAGCAAGCACTGTTATGGTCTAATCTATTCCAGTATTCGACAAAAGATTCTAGTTTTGATACCACAAGTGTAGGTGCCGAAAATATCAAATGTCTGAGTCCATTTCGTTTTGGTCTTCGTGTCTATATATTTGAGAATACCTCTGCTGTTTGGTTAAGACTAGTATGCGTATGTAGGCTGGTGCCCGAGGCATATGTTTTTGCGGTAGCCAGTAAAAAAATCCTTTTGAAATACTTACAAAAATATTTAATCCTATTTACATAAACTTGACCTATTCCAATTAAATTTTAAATGCAATGAATTGTATAAGGCCATTGCTTTAACTGGAAATGACTCGAAATTTTGGAAATTACACATCCACGAGTGAAGGAAAGGATTGTGCATTACTACTACCATGTACTCTTGGTCGGTTAAATGTATTAAATGGAATATTGACCCAGATATCACGCACGGTCGCGAGGCAAAATATTTGATTTGATGTTGAACACGATGCCAGAGTCACACATGATCTACATAAAATGCCAAGAATTCAGAGTAGACTCGAGTAATCGTGGCCAATCACGCCAACGCAACAGAATTCTTGCCTCTTTGGTCATTTGTTTATAACACTGACGATTTACTGACAAATTTCCCAGATAAATTGAAACACAGGAAGTCATACAAATTGATATGTGTAGGCCGAACAGCGATAATGCGCAGTCCCATTGTGCCTCCCAGAATACTCTTGTAACACGATACGGCCGTCAATTCACATATTCGATTGCATACTCCTACGCATTTTCGTGGCAAATCAACTGGCGTGTTGTATCACACATTTACTCCTTGATCCCTGTACAATAGTTTCAGCTGCTTTACCAAAAATGGCGAATGACTGTCAGCTATTTGATGAACATTGTTTTCACTTTTATAACACGCTTAGTTTTATAAATAATTCTGTGTATTGACAATTCCGTAGTGTGATTTGAAGTTCACTATTCAGCATTGATTGTATCAATAAAATGCATTTTTACGGTACGAACCAAAATGCACTATTAATCACAAAAAGGTGTGTTTAAACCAATTTATAAATTTTATGCTCCAGAATAATCTTAAACTTTTTAATGGACACCAAATACCACGGCTGGGGCAAATAAATTATGAATATTAATTTCCAGTGTGGACTCTTTATTGGGTTATCTTACTTGGGTACAACTCCACAGTCGTACATAACGCAAAACAAATATTCCACATTGTTTGCTTAGAAAACGAACGAGTGACGTAGTCCTTACAACCGAACTGAGGAATGCGGTAAATAATCTTAAAACACTCTCGAGAATGGTACTTTCCGATAAGGATGTGCCAAGTCGGCCGTGAGAATTTCTCGTTATCTCACAGCGCGTCATTGCGCCATATTAAAGTAATAAATAAATTATCTACCAAAAGAGAATAGTGAAAACGCGTGCTCATATTAACCCGCTACCCACATTTAATTTTTATCTTCGTACAAAGCCGGAGTTTGAGCCCACTCTGGCATTATGCATTATGCACCAATCATTAAATCTACGTCACAAGTTTAATGGAAAAAGGTAATTTGACAACATTGCGCTTTTGTACATTTAATTTGAATTATTCATTGTATCGTTCCGGAAAAATTGTTCTCTTGAAGAAACGTTCGCACGAACAATAGAGGGAATTTCCAAATCATACTAAGTGAGAATAATGTTTCACTCCGTCTTTTGTTGTAGTGAGTGGATAATGGCGCAATAATTTCTGCAATATCAAATGCTCGTAATAGAATGGTTCAAACTAAGCAATCAGGTTCATCGTTTTATTACAAATTTTGTCTTTCTCGAGTTACGAAGTTTTTTGATATGTTCGATTAATGATATGTTTTGTTAGGTAAGTCCACGGAAGGTTACGCTGACCATGGTAAAACTATGTAAGTGTTGTGAACTCTTAAATTCATTTTAGTAGTGTTTGATTAATGGGAAAGTGACCATACCAACTTGTAATTATCTGTGATAAGCAAATACCATGACATCCAAGAAAATGTTACCTGAACACACCACCACGTTACACCTGTGGAAAATACCACTAATTATTCACGTTTATGATAAAACTGTTCGAATAACATTTTGAGCGTGACAACGGCAATAGATGCGGCGTCAGGTCTGTTGAGGAAATACTTTTTATGACTATCCATCATGCGACCTTTATCATAACATTTTCGGCATATTTTTCCACCCACATATTCCGTTAGAAAAAAACACTGATTTTTGAGACGTGTAATAGAGCTTGATATTGTAGTATGAACAGCAAATATTTGCGATTGATTTCATTCCTCATAAAACATTGCTTTTGTGAATATCTATTAAAATTCAATACCTGATTATTCGAAGTTTCAGAACTGGATTGTATTCTGCTATCCCCTATTCACTTGATATTTATAGATATTTTCATTGTCTCTTGTAGTCATATCCAGTTACTATCACGCAGTGTTTGTTTGATTGAATATGAGAATTTCGTAATCAACACTTAAATTCATATTTGGTAAATATTAAAAAATCTCTAATTGTTCCATGGATGTGTGCATGCATTTCACTTATTCGTAAGTGCTTAATATTACTAATATCACATAAATAATTGCAGCACGTAGTCGTATACATCTATACGAGACATTTTAAAACAATATATTATTTATACGTCACAGAAGATTAATTCATTTGGCAGCGACGACTTGAAGGAATTTGTTAAAGTATTCTAACGCGCAAAACATTACGCGTAACATCAGCCATATATATATATATATATATATGACGCCACCAATCGCGACGAATGTTTGTCGCATATATTCTCAGGCGTGAAGGAGATGACTGAGTGCACTATGAGGCAAACGCAAATGCCACTTAACAAAAGTAACATATTCCATAAGCAAAATTTATTTGATGGTGACAGATACCAATTTACAAGCGCCGCTGATTCCATAAACAGTTTCAGTTTATGTTTCCGAACATACACAACGATAGAAACTACATTTAGAGCGGCCCACACACTAATGGCCGGGAGATGAGTTAACAAGGAAACAATCCAGTAAAATATTTTTCAGTTCAGATTTAATATTTTCACAACTTATACATTCTTCATACAGAATAAAAAATATTAGAATGAAAAAATGAACCTTTACGTCATAACAAAAATCGGCAACAGATTGAAATAATATCTGTTACTCAGTAAAATTTGAAACTTACATCGGAACTTTGAGCATCCAACATAACCTCCCTAGCCGCGGCAAATCTTGGAACAAATACAAAATTTAGTTCGTAAGTGAATCAAAATTGTGCAAGGATCGCCCGATATTTCCAACCGTTCAGCATATTTCAAGTTTGTAAGCTTGTCTCAAAACTAAAATAAAATTGGAAGAAGCAAAAAACGAATAAGGCAAAATTTAAAAAAGAATTAATATTGGTGTGAAAATATTATTTACTTAGAGTTCCATGGAGCTTGACCCGACATAAGGCTATCAGGATAATTCCACCAATCACTCCGAAAACAAGTGCTCCTACCAAATTTACGACTCCGAACACGATGCTTCTTGACATGCTGGTAACTAAAAAGGATCAGAATTTTTACTTAAACTAAATATTACATTATTATTACGAGTATTTCAAATTTACGCAACTAGGCAAAACTTGTGTTGTGAATACTCAAAATAGTGGGTTCCGCTTAAAGCTAAATAAATGCCACTTACTGAATACTATTTACACATCTTATTAAAATAATGTTATAGCGTCCTCAGTTTTGCATGCACCTCGGAATTCCCAAATTTGGCAAAAGTATATTGTTGAATTTATTGGCCAATAATTCTCAAACTCACTGTTAATCCCCAGGTTCACGTTCATCAGATTTCCAGCTACCATTGTCAGTTTCAACAAACCATGATGTACACAAAGGTTCGTCCCTTTTACCATCTGCGTTCCGGAGTCAAATTGACGTTTTTGTTCCTCGGTCATAAATCCGCTGGACGCGTATTTTGTCGCTTTGAGAATGTTATCATATTTCATGCAGGCCTTCAAAATATTTTACATTTAGTAGTCACATGGTTAAGGGTGCAGAAAAGTGACTGAAACGTCTACACAATCTACCGAACTAATAATATTAATAAAAACTTACGACCATCCACGACGCTGAGGAAATTGCCATAATACATGAGCATAATACAACCCAAAGCAACGCAGGATATTGCAGAAACGTGAAATTTCTTCCAAGCCATGTTTGCTTCGAAGCTGAACTAGCTATCTGAAATAGCTGAAACTGAAATAGCTATCGTTTACCCTGAAATTTATATGTGAAGTAGATGTGGTGTCAGATCTGTTGAGGAAGTAATTTTTATGACTATCCATAACGCGACCCTTGTCATAATATTTTCGGCATCATTTATCACCCACATATTCGGTAAAAAACATTGCAACACCTACAAATAACTGCGATTGATCTCTTTTCCTGAGTCATAAGACATTGGTTTTGTGAAGTAAAGTTGCGTAACTGGCTTGAATTATGCTATCCAACTCATATTTATAGCTATTTTGTTGTCCTTTGTAGTCATATTCGCTTACTATCATCGGGTGTGTTTGGTTGAACAGGAGAAGTATGTGCACCAAGATGGCGCACAACCTGGTACACATACTATGTTTAGGTTGTGCGCCATCTTGGTGCACATACTTCGAGAACACCGAATTTTGTAATCAACAGTCAAATTCATATTTGCTACAGTATTAAAAAACCTCTAACGACATGTAATTGTTCTATGAATATGTGCATACATTACACTTATTCATACGTGCCAAAGTGCTTATTAATATCACATAAATGCAACAAGTAATAGTATGCTAGAAATTTTTAAAACAATATACAGAAGGCTAATTCATTTGACAGCGACGACCTGAGGGAGGTTGTCGAAGTCTGCTAATCCGCAAAACAATGCGCGTAACCTTAGCCATATATTTAATTTCTTTAACCTACATTCTTTAAAGTCATTGCTTTATCAACTCTAGCGATCGAGAGAATGTACACAGGCTACATAAACATATATGAGATCTTTTGAAAGTTTGCTGAAATGTCTCGAGATTATGTAGATTTTTCGTCAGTTTCTTATTATATTTTTTGATTGAATTTATTCAGATATATTTCATTTTGCAAATGCAAAAAGATGTCAATCGTAATGAGGAAGTAATCTGCATAACCATATCACAGTGACTCTTTAGGTGCGTCATTCCACCATGCACATATTAATTGCATCATACTGCAGCTACCGCAAATGACGCCACCAATCGTGAAGTACGAATGTTGGTCCCATATGCTCAGGTGTGAAGGAGCAGACCAATAAACTGACTGCACAATGGAGCAAACGCAAATGCCACTTAACAAAAGTAACATATTCCAAACGCGAAATTGACTGGATGGTCACAGATGCCTATTTACAAGCAAGCGTGACATGCACGCGCCGCTGATTCCATAAACGTTTTCAGTTTGCTTCTGAACATACACCACGAGAGGAAACTACATTTAGAGTAGCGCACACACTGATGGACGGGAGATGAGTTCACAAAGAAACAATCCAGTATAATATTTTTCAGTTCAGATTTAATATTTTCATAACAGAAACGTTCTACACACAGAATGAAAAATACTACAATGGAAAAATGAACTATCACATCAGAACGAAAATCGGCGACAGATTAATATAATAATATCTGTCACTCAGTAAGATTCGAAACTTACATTAGAAACTGAGCATTCAACATAACATCTTTAGTCGCGGCAATCAAAATTGTGCCAGGTTCTCCCATCCTTCCAACCTCTCAACGTATTTCAAGTTTGTAAGCCTTGTCTCAAACTTTAAAAAAATTGAAGTAAAAAAAAAAAATAAGGCAAAACTCAAAAAAGGATTAACATTGATGTGAAAAAATTATCCATTTAGAGTTTCACAGAGCTTGCCCCGGCATAAGGCTGTCTAAGTAGAGACTGCTTTGCAACTCCAGTGAAGATCGCGGATATCACGAGGAAAACCGCCGAAACCCATCCCAGATAGAATGCGTATCCATACATGGGATCCATTCCCTCGAACATCGTACTCATCATTTGCTTCATGTCTTCATCGAGGCCCAAACCATCAAGACTGATATCTCTTTTCCCTCTTCCCATTGGTAGTTGTTGTTGGAATACAGAACTCAAGCTCTGGCCCATGCTTGCCATGAACAGCAGAGGATTGTGGACAGCTTGAGCGGTTCCCCCTGTGTATGCGGCCATACCAATGACTGTGCAAATCCCTGCAATACAAAGTCCATATTACCCTGGGTTTGGGTATTTTATTGAAACCCCCAAAACATCAGCTAGAATAGATCTCTAGAAAAGCATTTATATGAATAAGCGCGAGGTGCTGAAGGCTATTTCTTTTAATTTTGGTAAATGAATAAAATGCTTGCATGTGCTTATATTACCTGCAATCGCGAGAACTATCAGCCCTGATCGAGTACGTTGAGCTACTTTACTCTTGCCATCGTAAGAACCTTGCTCCCCGCCGATAGCAACGATCAGGATAATTCCACCAATCACTCCTAGAACAAGTGCTACCACCAAAATAAAAGCTCCAAACATGGTGCTTCTTGGCATGCTGGTAACTAAAAAAATCAGAATATTTTTTACCAAGACTAAATATTTACGAGATTATTTCAATTTAAGCAACACTTGCCTAAAGCTAAATGATTACCACTTACTGAATACTATTTACGCGCAATGAAAATACAAACGCATCTTATTAAAATAAAGTTTTAGCGTCCTCAGTTCCGCATGCTCTTCGAAATTCCCAAATTTGGCAAAACAATATTGTTGAACTTAATAGCCAATGATTCTTAAAACTCACTGTCAATCCCCATGTTCACGTTCATAATATTTCCAGCTGCCATTGTCAGTTTTAACAAACCATGATGCACACAAAAGTCCGTTCCTTTTAGCATCTGCACTCCCAAGTCAAATTGATCTTTTTGTTCCTCGGTCATAGGTTCACTCGAAAAGCCTTTCATCGCTTTGAAAATGTTATCATATTTCATGCAGGCCTTCAAAAATTTTCACATTTAGCGGTTACAGGGTTAGGGGTGCAGAGAAGTAATTGAAAAGAAACGTCTAATAATAATAAAGTACTTACGACCATCCATGACGCTGAGGAAATTGCCACAATAAGCATAATACACCCCAAAGCAACGCAGGATATTGCACAAACGTGAAAAGTTTTCCAAGACATGTCCGCGATCGACTCTTCGAAGCAAAAGTAAATACTGAAATAGCTATCGTTTACCCTGAAGGTTATAAGTGGATGTTTTAACAATGCCGAACAATTTCTCATAAGCTGAAACTAAAACTTCAAAAGGGAAACAAAATAAAGTTGTCGCATTCAAAGGTCGAATATTGAAATAACATATCCCCAGTACTAACACGACGCGCCGCCAGATCAAAACAAGAGCTTCTCTGTATTTCAGTCGGCAATCAACAACGTCGACAAACTCTTTGCTGTGCGAAAAAAGCGAACGCCAGAACGAACGAAAACAACTGTCTGAGCGTCACGAGAGAATGATTTCTCTTCTTAAAGAGTTACGTTCATACCGAGCACGTGTTCGTAATAATTCGATGGACGTTTCTTTTTACACTCTTCACTCCACACTCTGACCGGAACCACGAAGTACCAATAGAATTAAATTTCGTCGCGCGTCTTGCGAAATATCGATACATTTTATACCTAAATTACATTAAGCGTCTTTCTCAGTCAGAAGGCCGCTTTAGCATAATGGTTATAAAAATTCAATATGCCCAGTTATAGGTCTTCAATTGATGGAGTATGTCAAATTTCTGGTGAATCTAGTAAATTTACAACAATATCTTCCAATGGGACATTTTTATGTTCTTCAGGAACGAAGTTCTGTTTCGCCTCACTGGACACGAAGTATACCAATGTATCGTTTTGTTGAATTGCTATTGTTTGTGTTCTCGTTGAGTTTGTTGTTGTTATTTTGAACAAATCTATTCTCCGCAACTAATGGACTGATGATTACAAATTTTCAGTTCTTAAAAGCGGGTGAAGGCAGCGATAGAAGGCTATTTATTACTTCTGTTGTATTTTCCAGTTTTCTCATAGTCCTGTGCAACTCAAGATCGGTTGCAAATTATAAGTACTGTATAACATTTATCATAGTCTTCAAATCTTTCTGTCACTACAAGAAATTATGGGTACTCCTGAAGTATGCGCACCAAGATGTCGCATAACCTGAACCCTAACCTGGTACATAACCTGAGTTCAGGTTGTGCGCCTTCTTGGTGCGCATACATATGTCTATCCCTATTCAACCTTTGTTGCGGTCGTTTTTCAACAACGAAAAAACGCAAAGGCACCACAGCAATAGATTGTGTGTCATAAAGAAGATTGGTATAAATATACAGACTCCTCTTTACCAGGGCCGGATCACGCCCGTTAAAGGACCTGAGCATCCTAAGATTTTAGTCCTTCATGTATAAAAATAATTATAATTAAACGAGTGTTCCATGCTATCTGAAATTAAAAAAATGAGTGAGGTTTAGTATTTATAACCGATCAAACACCATTTTTTGAAATAGTTCTCACGCCTACATATATTTATAGTGAGGTTTAAGACGATATTTGAGAAAGAAAAATAAGCAAAAATTTATTTCAACCGGGCCAATATTGAGGTCTGAAGCGTCTTACCAACTGAGAATGAATACATTAAACACTCAAGCTGAACACTGAAATACGTTTGTACAATTGTGGAAAGTCCCCGCCCTTAATGCAAAACGAACGAAAACAACTGTCTGAGCGTCACGAGAGAATGATTTCTCTTCTTAAAGAGTTACGTTCATACCGAGCACGTGATCGTAAAAATTCGATGGACGTTTCTTTTTACACTCTTCACTCCGCACTCCGCCCGTAACCACGAAGTGCTAATAGAATGGAATTTCGTCGCGCGTCTTCCAAAATCGGTGGGGTATGTCAAATTTCTGGTGAATCTAGTAAATTTGCAACAACATCTTCCAATGGGACCCTTTTATGTTCTTCAGGAACAAAGTTCTATTTCGTCTTACTGGACACGAAGTATACTTATGTATCGTTTTGCTGAATTTCTATTGTTACTTATCGATCTTAAGATCGGTAAGTATGTTGATAGGTATTTGTCTGTTTGCTTGTTGGACACGTAGTGGACATAACGATCGTTTCAATATTATGTTGGTCTTGTTGTTGTTCTTTGACACTTTTTGGACATCTAGTTGAAAATCTAAAAAAACGCTTTTCTCTTTCATTACTGGACCGATTGCTTCGAAATTTTTGCTGGTTAAAGATGGAATTTTTCTCCAGAAGGCTATTACTTTTATTTATTTCAAATATTTCTGTTAGCTCTGTGAGATTTGTTTTTGTTTGCTATGACGTCACCGAACGTTCTGCATACGCGTAGCCGACACTCCTCTTCTTTTTGATCACGTGCCATCGAACGTCGATGGTTCGCAACGAAGTCCTTAGGGTACTTTGCTACGATTTTCCCTTACGCTGATCGACGGTACGGTAAACCGTACTGTACTGCGAACAGACGTGTCCCTATATTTGGGCGTAGCTCTCTTGTTTATCTGTCTGTCTGTCTGTTAGATTAAAATTTTGCATGTGCATTCATCATAGCTCGGATCAGAAGCCTATTAATTGAAGCCTATTGATTTTCGATGAATTATGTCGTATAATTAGCGAGTTATCAATTAAATAGTCATAGGACACACGGTGTCACTATGGAGTAAGAGCGCTGTTTTGGGGGATCCCCTAACCTTCGATCGATAAGTCTTCGGTATCCGACCAATATTCTCGTTGAGTTTATTGTTGTTATTGTGAACAAATCTATTCTCGGCAACTAATGGACTAATGATTACAAATTTTCAGTTCTTGAAAGCGGGTAAAGGCAGCGATAGAAGGCTAATCTTTAGGGCCGGACCATGCCCTTTGAAGGACCTGAGCATCCTAAGATTTTGGCCCCCAATATATAATAATAATAATAAAATTTCGCTTGAGAATAGCCCTTTTCTAACACCGATGTCGGAATTCATATTTGTTCAAATCACGGAATTTCAATGTGAAAATATTAACGTCAAGACGGTGCCAATATGAGAATGGCGTCCTTTGATTGGTATAAGAAGAATGGATTGTCTTGTCCAGCTAGGACCAAGCCAATGAGATGGGTCACGCTTTTTATCTAAACTTCGTACTTTAAGCTCTCGTTAAGTAGCCTGACTCCTCATTTGGAGAGACTTTTTGTGCCTTTATTTTAGTAAAAACACTCCTCTATTTTCAAGCGTTGGCCACGTGACTGCAGTGACGAACTCCAGAGCTGACTTAGCGCCACGTGATCCAGATTTTTTTTAGCTGGGTCCGAGAGTCCCAACTTAGACGGACTTAGTTGTCTTTGACAATAGCACCAGGCCCGCTCACGCTACGAGTAATAAAGTTAGTCAGATATAACGATTCATCATACAATGAGTGTAAATAAAGATGACCGAGGTAAACTGTGAGGAAACGTATTTCCTAACTCACAACGTGTCTGGTGTGTTTTTAAGTAATATCTGTCACGAAAAAATATAATTTGAAGCGACATTACAAAACCAAACACGAAAAAGATACCTAAAACACCACGGGAAGCAATTTAAAAATAACTGGAAGCTTTATATATCTTCCTTCAACTGATTAGAACGTTAAACACTCATTTCTGAATATATTTGAAGCGGGTAAACTCGCGATGTTTTGATCATATTTGGGTTCTTCTCCCCGACTGTGGCCCGCGAGACACCCTCAAAAGTTTTGCGGTCTGACAACCCCGCAACCTTGGCCCACCCTGATCTACATGATATTTTTTGAAAAAAGTTCTCATGCCTACATATATTTATATTGAGGTTTAAGGCGATATTTGAAATAGAAAAATAAGCAAAAATTTATTTCAACCGGGCCAATATTGAGGTCTGAAGCGTCTGACCAATTACATTACCATTGGATTAAACACTGAAGCTAAACACTAAAATACGTCTATAGAAATTTTTGGTGCACTTTTCCTAGGTGCCCCAAGCACGTGCCTATTTTGCTCTTGATTATCTAGTCGGATTTTTTTGTAGAAAGCCCTCTTCACTAATGCGAACTGTGAGCTTTGAGAAAAACGCTGTGTTTCAAAACTTACCGTACTCACGGTCAAAGCTGACGGGAATTAAACTTAATCTGGGTCGGTTTTGTGGTTGAAAATGAACGTGAGTGTGAATGCCCGCGGATGTGAATGTACGTGGCCGAGAATGTCCATAAGTGATAATATCCATTTGTGCCGACTGTAATCGACTCACTGTTAGAAAATAATGGGAAGTTGCCATGCTTAACAATAATTATAGATTTTTTTGCATTACATCTGACTCTGTTAAATTGTAGTAGCCACGGCCTGGAGTTACAGGGTCCAGGGTCCGCGTTATTTGGGTTTGTATGAGTTAGTATTTGTGATCAAGTAACTTTAATGTAGCTGTTCAATATTTTTGAATTTTCCTTACGACTTTAATATAGTTATTTCCTATTGTATTACGTGTTCTTTATTTGTTCCACTGTTATATGAAGCTTTAGATGACTAGATCTTACATTCTGTTTTTCACTCGCTGTCATTGAGCTCAAATATTACGCCTTAACTATTATATGTTATTTATCAATGTGCATCGACATACCACTGTGGTTATAACCCCGTTTTCGATGATCCCTTTTTTCGCGTGAAGAAATTTACGTTTTCCACAATCTAAACCCGACACGTATAAAAAATTGAATATATAATTCTGAAATTTTGGTACTGAAACGTAGAGATAGTTTTAATTCTGCATAAGAATCCTCATGAAATGAGACGTGTTACAGCATCATGTTGTTATGGTTCCATTACATTTGAACCCACGACAATTGCACCTGCATACTATTGCACTTATGGAGAAATTTCTTTGTTTTACGGATATTTAAACCCATACTAACCCTAAACCATGGGTTTTAGCACCCGCATATAGATTGAACCCGCGGATATACACATGGGTTCAAATGTACGGTTGTTATTACTGAAAACCAATTGCGACCATGCCCTCTTCCCACTGGAAGTCCACTAAAAAAATATTTTATTTCATGTTCAAGAACAATAGTTCGCGATGCATCGCTTCGATCAATTGTTTAAACACATAAAAAGTATTAATAGTTTCAACAGTCGCGGTAGTAAAACAAATTGAACAACCATAATTTTGCAGAACGATCCATGATCTGGGCGGTCCGGTTTATATGGGGCAAAAGTGAGTTGGAAAAATATTAAAATTGGTTCTGACTTATAAAGAAAGGGGCAACAAAACTCTCATATTTCATTCATTCATACGGAGTTCGAAATGTGTTTTCTGCTTCACCATATATATTATCAAATTCTAGAAGTATAAGTATATAAGTATTTTCACGCGCAATTTTATTTATTACCACCATCCACAAAACCTACAATTCATATTGGAAATGTGAAAAATATACTATATATTTTTTTAGATGAGATTCAGAGCACTGGGCAGAAATCACATCGCGTCAACACCGGGTAGGGGCCATCTCGATGCTTTGTTTTAATTAAACAGTCGGATTCCCCTGGTCCGTATCAGTTATAAGTTGGCTGTTCAACGCCAACTATACTATACCAAATATACTATATATTTCATTACCAAAGATCAATTGTAACAACACAGGCCCACATGTAATACAGGGAAACGGTCAAAGTAAAAGTATGCAGTGATAAAGCACCACTTTATTAGAAGCCATCGCCTTATTTCCAAATAGGTCGGAAGAAGGCAGCAGAGGAATGTTTTGAATATTATACGACTTTACGGCGATGACGAAGGAAATCGGAGTCGGGTATACACTACTCATTGATGAATGTATAAATTAACCAGGAATTCACGCTTCAGTTTTATTTTAGTCATTGGTGTAAAAAAAACATTTCTCATGACAAACAGCCACAGACTAACAAAAGAGACGATGACAAAAGAACTGCGAAGATTCGAACTATCAAATTACAGATTTTTTTTACAGACATTTGAACCCATACTAACCCTAACCCATGGGTTTTAGCACACGCATATGGATTGAACCCGCGGATATACACATCGGTTCAAATGTACGGTCATTAACTCACATTATTAACCAACATCCCAATTCGAATTTTCAAAACATCTAATTCATTCAATTCTAAGGCACACAAATATATTTTTTTATTCAATACACTATTCCTTCTACGACTCACATACGGCAATAAGTCTTGCATACCTAATTTTTTAAAACATGCCCTGATTTTAAATAACAATGGGATTTTATTTGTGCTTGAAAACAATGATTTCAATCTGTACTAATCAGTGTATTTCACATGTTTATTTATATTCATTCTGAAAAATTTTCTGGTCGGTCTATTTAAAAAATTAGGCTTGACTTTACTATAAAGTGGGTTTACAACCACAAAAGTATAAACGTAATTAAAATATGATTGGTGCATCTGACCACGATTTTCAGCGTCAACTGTTTCGACAGTCATTGTGTATCGCCATTTCCTTTTCACAGGTTGACATATGGGACGTCGGAGAAGTTAAGAGGGATGGTTTCAAATTGGCATAATCGATACAGGTTCGATGAAATATGCGTATCGGACAACGAAATTAAAATTGATTACCTAATTTCGTTATCGGTCAGGTTTTATATTATACATCAAATACAAACTTTCCTAATATGGATTGATTGTCCTGTACAAGCATTTATCTCTCCTAACATAAATATAAAAAAAAAGCAATTAATCATATTTATTTTTGTTTGAATATGATATATAATTGTAACCTAATAATTTACTGTACTCAGTTATGGATTACCTGTACGCACGGAGGTTATAATCGTGGAAGGTCACGATTTAATTTAGCTGAAACGGAAATGTCATATTTTTATCTATATTTATGATATATATATCATCTGGCAAGCTACTATAGCATGATTACGGAATGACTTTGTGAGAATGTTTGTATGCGCTGATATAGTTAACGGCAGGTTATTTCACATTGCAAATGTTATAGAATTGAGATTATCATATTATTCAGCATTGTTACTATTTCGTCCCTATATTAGTTTTATGCATAAAGTTCTTTCAAAATAATTTGTTCTCGTCGATTTCACAGATAATTAATTACGTTTAGATGCGGTTTACATATACCAATTTTAATGTAATTCCTTTGTGAAATATAGATAGCGTAAGATGAATTTTGATAATGGAAACGATTCTAACGTTTTACCTGTTGAAAACGAATATGAGACCAACATCATGGACACTGATGATACATCAAATTATCAACAAGAAACAATGAACCAAAGTGAGCTGGAATATATCGTCGTTAAGTCTGTAAAAAACGTATTTTAGTTTCTCTATCTTGCATGCTGTTATCGATTGTGGAAAATGCCGGAGTTAAAGTCTCAATCAGCTTATCATTCCACCTCGGTGTAATAATCTGAATATTCCGAGCACATCTTGAAGAATGACTATTCCACATTCATCAAACCCACACATGTAAACAGCTTATCTCGTACGTACTTGGTTTCAGGCAAAAGTGTAACATAAAAATACTATTGTCAAATTACAAAACCAGACTGTCTAACTACCACACCAAGGCCAATACGTAATACATATTATAACTATTATCTACTATTAACTAATATAACTATTATCATCTTTTGCAGATCGTACAAAACCTCTATCGCCTCTCGGATGCGAAGTGAAAAAGAAGAAAAGATTCATCTGCGTCTTCACAATTTTCTTGCTGGTCGATATTCTCATCACTGCAATTTGCTTAGTATTTGTGATGCAGGTAGGATAAAAATCAAACATCGCTTACAAATCAATGTTGATTACAAAATTGTCTTTGGCTATATTTAATATAACGGAACGGATACAACCGAGGAGTTGACTATTAAATTGAACTCATCGAGTTTCGCATCGTTTATTAAATTTCTTACGTCCGTGACGCTACGGCCCCCATTTTTCGTAGCTTTCACGATACACCAGCCCTTCAAACCTTCACTTTTAAAAGGCCCTATATTTCACTTCCATGTGATTGTGCTTTTGGCTGTGATCAAAAGTTTTCGAAACATAATAATATGTTGAATAAGCAGTCGAGTTTACGTCTGTTCCGTTCGTGTATATGATCAATATATGCTATCGTAAACGTTATTGAGTAATATAATATTTATGTGCTTTTAGATTAGATATATATCCCTTATTGCACTTTTATACGTCTTCAGTAAACTGGGCTCAGAATAAAAGGAAAGCTATGATTCTCCAACTAAAACTCGAAAGTTTTCAAATTCCACTTGAGTATTTTTGTTAAGGCATGTGGCTTGTACCAAGAAAGTTGTTAAACAAATATAGGATCAACTCACCAGCTATAGGATTTACCATATTACACGAAAAAAGTCAAATAAAATGACTCGAAAACGTTTTGTTTATCGATCTGTCTGTTGCTAAAATTATATTATATATGTTATTAGAACCAGAAAACAATTGAGCGAAACTAGTCAAAAATCAATAAATATCAGTTTCGATCAATTTCGATCAAATACCGGTACCAGTCAACTTGCACCAGATTTGCCACAATATGTGAACATGGTGGACTTGAAGGTGAATGTCTCGTCATATTTTGAAATAACTGTACTCTAAAAACACGATTTCTTCCATAGATAGGCATCGCCACCATATATGATTGTAAAAAACTCAACGGAAACAATTTAGTATGATTCCCGTAATATTTTATATGTATACCAAAATATCCAATCTCTAGCAGGTTGATCTTCGATATCATGTGTTTTATTTATCACAGCAGGTGACCTGTAAAACATTTTTCAAGTATTTTTGGACACGCATACACCACTGATCATTGATTATTGTTGCCATTAATATAAATACATTATACCGTTTCCAATGGTTCAAGTGCCATTTTCCACTTCGAAGTAAATGTGGTCAAGTCCATGATACTTGTCAATTATGTTGTGTGATATGCGTTTCAATTCATTAGATTGATTGTACTCCAAAATAGGGCTTGTTAGATACTAATCGTCAATATATAATGTCAGCAAACAGTCATCCTCCAGACTTGTGCCGCGGGTACACACATGAAAATATCCGAATGAGCCCAGTTATATATTTACTTAATTATTTTGAAACTAATTTTATATTCGTAATCAAAACTCACCCTCGATAGAAGATATATTATCACATGGCCACCTCAACATGTATGGGAATATTACTAAGCATCGAATCCGTTTGTAAAATTTGTAGTGACCTTCAGATCTCCTTGGTTCGGGGACTGTTTCCATTACTCAAGGGCGATGAAACATAATTCGATTGCTGTCTCTCATTTTTCAACATAAACAATCATTCTCGTGATATTGCATAGTTGAAGAAATAATTAATATTATATATTTCAGGGGAAAGCGGGGGAAAATAATGAAGCTCGAGGTAATTATGGTTTTTATGTATATAGGAAATAAACTAGACGGATCAAATTTTATTTTGAACTCCGCCCTGGTACACAGTGACAACAGGCAACTTCAAATGAGATTTAAACATGCAACAAAACAGTACATACCTGACCAATCTCACCATAGAACATAGAATATAAGTAAAAACATACGATGGGATACTTCCTACTTGTGCGTAAATTTTACAAGAATAAACACCAGAACTGTTATTATAAAGTTCCTTCAAGGTCTTACATTGTCCTCCAAACGTAAAAATATAACACACGGGTGGTGTATGCATTTTATACTAAACCTAAACAGACATAATTAATCACAGAATGCAAAACAAGCCGATGAGAAATACTCCTTTCACACAAACTTAATTGACCAAAAATGTTTCCAGCGCTGAAACTTACCAATAAATGTAATGATTATTCAAATATTGTTTTATTCTTTCATGTTATTTAGATATTCTAAGGCTAAGCTGTTCATGCGAATAAAATACTAAACCTGCGAATTTTCATTTTCTATTATTAATATTTTATTTTCGAATTGATTTATTTGTTTTTGCTTTCAAAAGGCACCTCATTGCTGCTATTAGAAACTATTCGCTCTACTTTTGCTTGGATTTCAATATAACATTAGCTATTCTGTTATCAGCAGATTACGCAGCCTATACAAACATATCAGAATTAAGAAATGAACTTCCATCAGAATGGAGAAATATTTCTGATACGAAATTGCTCAACAAAATCGAAAGAATTTCTCATAAAATTGGTGGGTAGTCATTAATTTAAAAAATAAGTATAGCTTGTGATATGTTTGCAAAGTGAAAATTGAGTCAGAATATATCTTTGATTGGTTTTTACAACTAGTGATGACTTGTAGCTAATAAAAAGATTGTTTATATAGGCCTAATTTGATATTTAAATTTTGTTGATTGGATATAATATTGAAAATTGTAATCTATATGACTCCACTCACGGTTTTCAATTATTGCACACGCGCTATCAGAAAGTTACTATTTTACGCTTTTGCAACAGCTTTGGACAAATTGAGCAATTGCCTAGTTACCTGATTATAAATAGAGCACAACGCCACTTCGAAAGAACAGAACTTGGTCTCTGCATTGTGGAGTTTGCACATCAAATATATGACTGAGTAGACTTGTACACGATAAATATCGACTGCTTTTGATATAGGTTTATCACATAAAACACTGCCAGCGAAGGTGATTTGTGTGCGATGATATATAAATTATACGTGTTCAAAATGTAGTGGCTAAACAGCCTTATTCAATATTTTAGATCATAAGAGGAAAGTTCGTCTCGCCGGCGGAAAAACAGAAAAAGAAGGGCGTGTGGAAATTTTGTACATGGGTGAATGGGGAACCGTTTGCGACGATACTTGGGGTACAAATGAAGCTCAGGTTATCTGTGAAATGTTGGATTTCTCTGAGGCATTAGAGGCTCCGACAAACGCACGTTTTGGACCCGGAAGGGGTCGCATTTGGCTTGATCAAGTTAATTGCGGTGGAATAGAGACCAGTATTGGTGACTGTCTACACGAAAGTTGGGGACATCACAACTGTAGGCATGACGAGGACGCATCGGTCATTTGTGAATAAGAACTAACTCTTGATGAACCAAGTATTCTGTTTTCGGTTTCGAAAAGACTGCCAGATTAAAAAAAATTCTATCATATTTATTGCATGAAATCTTGTATTGCTGTTTCAGTTTCGGAATATCAGAACCCATATGCTCGTAGTGCCCAGAAATTTTGCGTTTCTGTGAAATAGGTTCTTGACACTGAGCATAACATTTTACGAAAAGTTCAACACAGAAAAACTCAGAACTATAAGACTACCGGTCTCAAAGGATGTGAATCAAGATGGCGGACACCGGAACGTACGGTAGTATGTGAACCAGGTTAGGCTATATTTTCAGGTACAAATATTGCAGAAGTCACTTGGCTGGTTCCCGAACTCGTAATATAACTAAAATAAGAAGTATTGGAATAAAATTATGGCCTAACCCTAACCTTGTACACATACTACGTTCCGGTGTCCGGCATCTTGTTTCACGCACTTCGGGAGGGTCGAAACTCCAACGTTTTTACCTTATTAAATTATGCCAGTCCTCCAGGTCCTCTGCATTTTGTTTGTCCGTTTGTTTCTTTCAGAGTGACCAAAATAAATCGATTGATTGATTTACACCCAACTATCCGGTAGGAAATTCGTTCTCGTTCGAAGCACCGTTCACCTATTCAGCCCACAATTAATATGCTTCCCATCATGAAACAATGATTTATTCAAATTTTGCAAAACCAGGCAAATATAATCATGCAGACAGATGGAATAACACATATATGTAATATTCAAATGCTGCTAGTTACCATGGTGACAATGTTCAATAAAACCAAGTCAGGCAGACGCCGATCACAGCAAACAATTCGAGAGAAGAAATTCATAAAACCATAAGTTGCAATAATTCAATCTGAACAATAGATTATCAGTTTGAAAGAAAATATGTCAAAATACATTACATAGAAACTAGTAATGATTTACTTTTATCAGTTTCAAGGTGAAATCTAAACATCCAAGAATAACTTTCCGTTACATTCCCTGGTGGGTTAACCAGGAGATCAGGGTTTTGACTTGTTTCTGCATTTAAAAAGTACATTAAGTAGAGCAGAGGGTTGAATAAAAATATTGTTCTATTTTACTGCGAATTTATTTAAGTTTAAGAGTCAAACACACAACATTTGCAAGCTGGTAAACATTGATGCAAAATGAACGTTGTTCCAAAATGAAATTAGCCTCGCCCTTCATATAAAATTATATTGTTATGGGACGTGTTCGCTTGCTCGTTCGTTCAAAACCATTATCATAATTATGGCTTATAACCACAAATAATTTTGACTTAAAAAAATTAGTGTAATGTACTTTTTCCAATACGTTGAGAATATGAAATCAAAACATTTGATGGCATAGGACAATAAGACAACAGTGCATTTAAAATCGGAGCAATCCAGTTAGAACTCAATAAATATGAAGAGAAATAATTGCCTAGTTAATATAATAATGCCAGAGTCTATTTTTAACCAAAAACAAAGTTTTTTATTCTGCTCCACCAACTGCCGCCTCCCCCCTTCAAGTTAGAGTTCGAATCAGATTTTTTATACTCTGTATCCTTTTCTCTTATAGTTTGATTTGAATCTTCTGGATCAGTTTCATCTTGAATTCTGGTTTGATAAGTTTCTGCATGAAACATAAAATTTATAAGAACCGTATTTTTGTTTACACTAAAATATCCGAGGGATATCATATAGGCGAACAATTTGGTGAAGCAGATATAATCATCTTTTTCTTTTTCATCATTGGATGGAAGAGTCACAGTCTCACAAAACTCATATCATGTGATTTACTGACTGATGTCATGTTAAAAAAAAATAGAAATTTATTATCAGAAAAGAAAATCTGATACTGAAGTATGCCTAAGAAGTAATGCAGACGAATCAGGAGAGCCATTTTTATCACGAAAGGAATTTGATCACAAATAGATTGAAATGCTAAATAGATTTAATCTTTACTGATTGTATATGCATGGGGACAATTTTTCTTTGGACTAAACTTCTATTAACATCCCTAAACTTTTGAATTGATTGGATATTTCTGTGAAAGCAATGGTCTTCTGTTACTACCGTTTGAGGTACCATGTTTCCATGAAAATAAGACATACCCTGAAAATAAGACCTAGTGAATAACGCGACCTAGTCATTTTTTTTGACCTAGTCAATAGCAAGAACTTTCTCCTACACGTTTTAAAGGATTAATAATCTATGTTTTGCAGTTATTTTGAATAAAAACGTGTTATTTATAAGTAAATGGATATCGGCTCTCATATTTTGTATGTTCGAAAATCTCGTAATATCTCTACTTTGTAATTTTATATTTGATAAATGAAATCTTAAGACATCCACCGGAAATCGGCCCTGGTGTTATTTTCGAGGAAACACGGTATCTATGCTGGCATCACAGAAAAAGATTTTCAATTCGAAGCCAATTCTCATCCGCACCAGAGCTAAAATAAATTGGGTAGAAATGCCAGCTGGAAAATTCTGTCCTTCAAAACATATAGTTTTTCTAGAAGTGACATTAATATATTACCGCACTAACTTTTTTTCCTCTTCTTTGTTCGTTCATCAGAACCTTCTTCGTAATCAATAGATTTGCTACCTCCATTTTTCTCTCCCGCAAATTCTCTAATTAATTCTTTTTGTCTTTCTGTCAATGTTCTAAAAAGCAAATTATTCATAGTTGAATAGGACTTATACAAACTCAAATAAAATTATGATAAAACAAGCATATCTGTGTTTTTTCAACAAGCTGTTTTCTTCCAAACAGACAAAGACAAGTTTTTTTGTTTTGTTTTAAATATGTGTATTAAGTATTCAGCCGACGGACAAGACAAAAAATACCAAATGAAACATGAATAAAATGTAGTGCTTATCATAAGATCTCAATTTGAGCTTCGAAAAATTTGGCATTACTGATACAAATTATTGTTTCAGGTTTTGGATAAATAAAAACCAATTTTGAAATATCAAGATGAAGCCAATATCGAATATTACAGGAAACTTCTAGATACTAAAGTTGTATGAAACAGACCCTATAACTCTTACTTTGGTGCCTCAATTTTGGCATGAACAAAATGATCCCCGAAACCGTAACTGTTTATCTTCTTTATGCCTTTTCCAGGATATTTAAAAGTATGATGAGAAGATGTTAACTCAGGAATCTTTAAAATAGATAAACAAGTATTGGAACAAGTATTTGATAAAAAAATTCAGTGGGTCAATGCATCATATATAACAATCTCGTCAATCTGTACTATGAATTGAATTGATCCCTATATTATTTTATTCCATTCACTTAAATATTACTGAAAGAAGCACATGCTATTTTTTCAAGGGCCCGTCAAATACAAAATTGCAACATACTTTAACATTTATTTCACTGTGAATTCCTGGCACACAAACCGAGTCCCCAAGAATTGCTTGAGAAATTGAAATTTTAACATCTGAATGAACATCTGCTCCTTGACGACGAAATATAGGACTTGGGGCAACCTAAAAACAAATGAAACGATATCATTATGATTCAAACAAATGAAAATATCAATAATGCGGTATGTATATATATGACTGAAATTAACCGGCGCTGTGCACAATGATTCAACTATATTTACACCACAGGTTAAATATTTCTAGTTTAACCCTTTCCGTGCGGTGGGCACGTATACGTACCAACGACAAAAGTCGCTAGATTGCGGCGAGTACGTTGATGTACTCCACTGTTTTATTTAGCAATCGGTCGCAAACTGTTGGTCTAGTTTTTCCGGGTTTTAGTTTATTGATAAGAAGTCTTCTTCGAAATTAACATAAGCGACGGTAAATCTCGCTTTCGTTTACGACGGAAATTTTATTTGCGGCGAAATGAGGGAGTTTTTTTGAAATTTATGCAAATTTCGGTGTTTTTTGGGTGGTAATGGAAGACACATTATCCCTTCCATCTACCAAAGTATTTTGAGTTAGATCACGAAATTGCTACAGCAATATTATGCTATTGTTTGCCAACCACGAAGCGGTAACAGTAAAGGATTTAGCGAATATTTCTATTTTTTATCACGGTTTGAAGCTTCAACTCCCAAGAAAAAAAAATGCCTTTTTCTATCCGGTTTGTGACTCAGACCACCACTTCTAAAAAAAACTTTTTTTTTTAATCGCCAATTGCAAGCTCTTTAAATAAGCTTTCCAACGAGCCGTCAGTGGGCAGCAGAGGATCATTAGTTTTTCGTTAGTCGATCGATTACCGGTAGTTGTGGGGTTACAAATGCATAAAATCGACGTAGCAAATACGATTATTTAATAAAAAATAAATATCACATGGAAAGGGTTAAACACACTGCTGTAGGCATTTATGTATGTCTGTGAGCCGAACTGTATATTCAGTCTTGTTTGGAACAACACCTCATGAAAAATAACAGTTAACTTGTAGATGAATATTACGATAAAAAAAATCTATAAAAACATTCAAACATACCCGAAATGTTATAAAAACTTCTCTTGTGCCAACCTGCATACGAACAGTTTGATTATTTTCAACTCCTAAAAAAAGATGTTATTTACTGAGTTAGACTTAGAAAATTTGATTGCAATGCTGTGAATGCACTTGGAAAAATATAACCTCTGAAAACTATGCAAAATTTTTTAGCGCTCAAATATATTGTAATTCATCAATTAGAGGTGGATACTCCCAGGCACGAAGACTAACATATGACGATGTTTAGAGCTAATCATCTTTAGAGCCAGAAACGCCTTATCTTAATGTTACAAATGAGAAACATTATTATAATCGCTTCAGACATATTTTGGTCAATAAAAAAATTTCTTCAACGATGGATGCTAAATCATGAAAGGTTTCAACAATTTAAAGCAGGATGTGCAACCTGCGGCTCATGGGCCAAATGCGGCAAAACTTGTGTGGCCTGCAAAGAAGCGCCATTTTTTTCAATGACGTGCAGCCCGCGAGTTTTTTAAATAATCTAGTGGGCCTATGCGTGAGTAACTCCAATTCCTTTGAGTTGCAATGGCTATACCTGAGCTTGTCAAAGCGAACAACAAGATCAATAACCAAAATTTGGTGTGCGTACTAGAGAGCAGCCCGCGGTTTCACACAGTTTTTTGTATCTGCCTCTTGTGTATTAGAGGCTGCACACCAATGATCTACAGGATCAGCGTACTGCTAGGTAATAATTTACTTTTATATTTAGGCGAATTTATGATGTTAAAAATGATACTGTACTAACTGTAGTTTTAAAAAAATAACCCGATTCCATAGTTTTGCCTATATTTTTATTTGTCTTCTACTGGTGAAATTAAATGACAAGCAATGAAGCAATGGAAGAAAACAAAGAATGCGACATATATGCATTTCACAAAATATTATTTTACCAATCAATGTATGGAAATCTCTATTTACTTTATCAAAAGTAAAAACACATCAGATTATACCTGCAGGAACAGGAACAGTGACTGTTTTGGTCTGCATTACTTGACCTTTGCTTTCACACATTCCACATGGAAAAGTGATTAGCTTTCCTGTTCCTCCACATTTTCGACAGGTAGACCGCATGACAAAAGGACCAGATACTACTTGTTCCTGGCAAATTAAATAAAATTATGTAGTTAAGTACAATTTTAATCCAATGACAATATTCGGTACTCCCGTAGTGTGTGTACCAGGTTAGGGTTAGGCCATACTTTTGTTCCAATTTTCCTTATTTTAGTTCTATGAGTTTGGGGACTGTCTGTGTTAGCCAAGTGAAGATACCCCCTGCCCATAGGCTTCCGTCCCTTTACACAACTTGATGTAATGTGGGCCAACAAAATTAGTTACCTTCATATTGGTACACACACTTCTGGAGCACCCAATATTCAAATCACCAAGATATGGTTAACTATTGCAAATAAGTAGTCGCAAATAATTACTATCAAAAAATGTCTTATACCATGCCGGATCCACCACAATATCCGCATCTTGAAACTTTACTGCCTGGTTCATTTCCTTCTCCCTTACATCTCGGGCATGTATCCATTAATTTTAATGATATTGTTTTATTTGCACCACGAGCAGCTTCTGTGAACTTCAGATCCAATGTGACCTAAATTAAAATATTCTTATTAAAGCAGGCAGCAATACTTTAAAACTCTTTTCAAACAATCAACTTTTCAGCAGAATGCTGAAGTATGTGAAGGCAATGCCATCAACACCCAACAAAGAACTATAATTTGTATTATGAATCTATTCATGTTGCATTAAAGTCTAATAACGATTAAAGTTTTTTTGCTGAAAAAAAGAAAAGTTATATCTAAATATTTTGATAATATTAATATGCTCCAAATTTTTCGTTGAAGAAGCGAGCAAGAATAAATCACATAGAAAGTGACAATTCTTGAGGCTTGTATTTTAATTATGTAGCCTATACCCGCTTTTCTGTTTCGCAATGTTACCTCAGTGGGAGCATATTCTCGAAACTCCTGAAACCCTGAACCTCCCTGCCCTCGACCAGTAAAATCACCAAATATTTTGCGGAAGAGTTCTTCTGGGTCGACATGCTGGCCACCGAATCCGCCACCTGGCCAACCCTGTTGCTGTCCTCCAAAACCAGTTGTACCTAATGTATCATATTGCCTCCTTTTGTTGTCATCACTGAGAATCTAAAATAAATAAAAACAAAAAGTTATCATTTTTTTGTAACATAATATTTGTATAGACAACTGCTACTAGTATATTTGTAACATCACAAAAGTGGACCTAAAACATTCTCCACTACACTATATAATGTGGTCAAAGACATTTGTTTTCCAACATATTATCATTAGAAAATATATGCAGTACTCCATTTCACAGTATCTTTTATATATCGAATTAAAGAAAGGAGCCAATGGTTCACACTTTCTTTCAGCAGATGTTACAGAATGGTATACAGCACATATATATTATGTGTTACCTCATATGCTTCCGCAACTTCTGCAAATTTTTGTTGGGTTTCCTTGTCTCCTTTGTTTGTGTCAGGATGATATTTTTTTGCTAACTGAAATATAGAAATATATGAGCATATTATCCATATTCATAAAACAAGAACAGTTACTTTGTCAGTGGTTCCCAACCAGGGACCCATTGCCCCAAAGGGGCTACAACACTATAAGTGCTAAAAACCTCTGAAAAAGGGCCCCAAGGGATAGGTTGGGAACCCCCATATGCATTTAGAGCAGCGGTTCCCAAACAGGTGGGTCGCAAAAGGAATCTTAGTGGGTCGTGAAAAGATGTAGAAAGCTTTGATTAATTATACTGGTTATTAGGATCCGTGGCGACTCGAATACGTAAATCTTCAAAAAAACAAAAGAAATTAAATTGAATTTAAATTCTAATCTGTCAAAGTTTCTTTTTTTTACGATCTTCTCAAAGGAACTAAAATTTGCCACACAAAGAATGACCATGTGGCTTTTTTACGCATAGCAGTTTTGTCCTCTGTACAACACTTCTTACCGTGTTTCCCCGAAATTTAGACAGGATTTAGATTTATTTCCTTTTGAAGAATAACACTATGTTTTCTTTTGAGTTCATTTATCAAAAATAAATTACATTGTAGAAAATCACGAGATTTTTTAATAAACATTATACAAAAACCGACATTCATTGTTTTTATTTGTATTTCCTATACAAAAATCAAGTGACAAATATCATAATTGTGATTGTGACATCACACAATCTTGAATAGTGGTGCAATCTTCAACTCACCTCAGGTCATTGTACCTTTCCTCTCCCACACATTTTAAATTCATTTCAATAAGGGTTAAGTTTATTTAAAATCACTTTCAAAATTCAAATTAGGTCTTATTTTCAGGCCAGGTCTTATTTTCGACGAAAACACGGCAGTTTTACGATGATTAGCCATTGCTGTGTTCTGTGTTATGTCATAAAAAAATTCAAATGGGTCGACATAAGCTGTGGTAATAAATAGTGGGTCGCAACTCTGAAAAGTTTGGGAACCACTGATTTAGAGCATAAGTGGGTGAGGTTTTCGAACCTGAGACCAAAAATGTGACTATAAATTTACACTTTATGAACAATATTCACAGTGTTACAAAAGCAGACGTGGAAAATAATAAGCCTCGTACCAAAACTAAATTTAATTGCAATTCTAACAAATTCATTGAGCTATTTTTTGGCTAAAACGTTAAAATTTTGTTTTAGTTTGGCTGTGGCAGCATCAGTTGGACCAGATTGAATTATCCAGCGAAGTTTGCCAATGCCAGATTTAGAGAAAATTACGGTATATGTTGGTTATACCTATTGCTGTTGCACAAAATTAAATATATTTCATATAATCCCATGCCTAACTTGTTGAATAAGCCTGGGTAAAGTTTGAATTCCATTCTATTCAGATATGCCAAAAATATGTTAATACAAACCTCATAATAAGCTTTCTTTATTTCTTTATGTGATGCATTTCGTGGTATATTTAATATTTTATAATAATCTTTTTGTGCGAGAATAGGAGAAGAAGTGTGGAATGAACTTGAGTTTGGATTCACAACCATGAAACATGATTTTGAAGCACCTAAAAAAAATTCCAACATCTGACCTAATATACTAAAATAACCTTAATATACAGCTAGAGCAGGCCTGCACAACTCAAATTACCACGAGGGCCACATGCATGAATCTGAAGTCCCGGCGGGCCGCAAACTTTGCCACATACATATTTCACAAGATGAACTACAAATCAAAATAATTTTGTAAAACACTTAAATTAAATGAACACTTTCATTACTGGGGAGCTTAAAAATATGAAGAATCTTATTTTCTTGAGTAAAAACAAGGTACAGTATTTTTGCATATGAGATGGCAAATATGTATTTAGTGGTTCATCTACCTTGAAAATCCACCCTTCATTTTCAATATTTCTTTTTTATTAGAATTAGGTATTGTGTGTTGGAGTATAAACTGACTGCCGGAAAATATTTCACTCGAGTTCAGTTTTGTAAAATCGTCCCAAATATATGTATGACAATTTATTTAGTCATATGTATCATTATTGGATATTTCCATCGTATGCTAGACTAGACAAACAATCCGTTTAGTAGCAATAGATTCTCCTGTATTGTACTTTTTGACTGTTAAATTACATATTTCTACAAAATCTGTTCAAATTTATTTGAAATTTTACAGTAAATAGCATTATCTTTTGTGCGAGAATTTCTGCACCATTCATAAAAAAGGTATTGTTTTTTAAGTTCGAAATTCGAATCAAAAAGAAAACTTCAGTTTTATAAAACTGCTAGTAAAAAATAATGGGGTTAATAATAGGTTGCTAATATGCACTAATGGGTGTGAGATTGTTATACCGATATTGTTTTAAAGCGTGATCCAGTCTGAATACTGAGATATCTAAATCAGGGTTTCCCAAACTGGGAAGCGAGGGATCGAGCGACGAATTTTAGGGGTCACGAAGGGCTCACCAATTTCACACAAAGTTCTATATTCATTGAAACTAGTGCAAAACATAAATCTCACGATTTTGAAATATGATCGGAGTAGCGTCGGGCTTGCATAACAATGCCGGCTGAAGTGGCGTGTTTCCAAATCACCCGCGGGGCCGCACAGAAGTATCAAGCGAGCCGCATGCGGCCCGCGAGCCGTATGTTGTGAAGGCCTGAGCTAGAGTCACAAGTAAATTTGTGATAGGAATGATTTTTTATTTAGCTGCCCAGATTTCAGGTTTATACAATTAACAAATGGTGAAGTTTCACATTTCAACACAGCATTGTCACTCAATTCATAATAGGCCTACTTCCTTTACAGATTTATCATAATACTTTTCGAAAGAAAACAGTCAAAAGTATGGCTACTACAGTCTGACAGTACAGCAGTACTAAAATAAAATTGAAACAATCAGTACAACCATTAATACAGTATTATGTGAAAAATATAATGAATGTAAATGAAACTGACCAAGAATTGTCTATTATTGGTATGACTTTCATTGCTGTTCCAAATCCAGCTCCACTGGCAGTGCAAAGGCGAAATATCATTTTGCTAGATCTGAAGAATGACATTCTAAACTCGAACACAGACTATCTCTATAATGATTAGTATATAATATTCTGAAAAACATTCAAATATAGTTTTACATTAGATGTGTAGCATTAAAAATAGCAATGATTATACATAAACCGTTTTTTCATCATTATACTCTCCACATGCACACATGATCCAAACCTACGTCTATGTCCATGTGCGTACTACACAGCACGACAACGGTTGTGCGCAGTGGATTATGAGAGTGACGTCAGAAGTCTATAAATGCGCCTGCTGCGTTTCATGGGCCTTTCCCCGCAGCATCGACTTCCTTGTTTACTCCGTGACATTGGCCAATCAGCAAGATGCAAAAAGTGACGTAACAATGCTCCCTATTCGCATCCGCTCAGACACTTTTCTCACTCAGAATGATTTTCAAGCGTGGTCGTAAACATTACTTCGTTTTTGAACTCTATTCGTTAGTTTCAAATTGTGTTTTGGATACTCAATGACATTAAACAACATGATAGGCAACTCTGACGTCACTCCATAAGACTGCAGGCGAAAGATTGTATTTCATGATACGCTCCAATGCACATATTTCTCGTCGCCTTTCGCGACCGTTTTCCGCTCGCTCTTGCTACTCGGCGTCTTTTTTACGTGTAGTACCTGCCTTTTTGCGCCTGTAACAAAAGAAAATAATCTCTATATCTAAGAAGTTTTGCTCACTTGGAAAGCTGGAATGGCAGACAAGCTGTAAAGAGCAATACTGGACATCATAGACGGTTTTTTTATCAGAGAAGATTACAAAACGCGATAGCGGATATATTTGTGTGGAACAATTGTAGATAATGACAAAGTTCAAAGTTAGTAATTTTTGATGTTTGTGCTTAAACATTGAATTTTCATTTAAAGAGGGTGTTATACAAAACTGTTTTTACTTCTCTTAACGATGCTGGCTGAATTACAATTCTATAACACAAAGTTTGCACCTATCGAACTAGGTGAATTTATTAGACATATTACATATTCAGTTTATCGTAGGTAACATTGCTGGTACATAATGCATCGTAGATAGGTTGTGTCAAAATTTTAGGAATTTAGCTCATGGCCCACTAATTAATATTATCTTCTATGCAGGAGGTTGCAGGGCTGAATTCAACTTGCAGTCTTACCGATCACTTGACGATGCTTCAATTTAGTTTGGCTCGAGCAAGTCTTCTTGAAATGCTTGTGTGGATGGAAACTACCTATATGTTTTGCCTTCCTCCGATATTAGACAAATTTATTCTGAGGGATTTCGCCTATATTTCTCATTGATTGTTGGCTGTTTATAATTCCTATTAATTGTGAATTCTGATTATAACAAAGAGTTGAAAAATTTTTTACCTAATTTACTGGCACCTTTTTCTTGTCAATACTCCAAGCTGAGGTAATAAACAAGACAATACATTTATGTCATCTGGAAGCAAAATATGCACACTAATTAATAGTTTGACACATTGAGATAATACATCATGACAGAAAATACAAGTTAAAGGTAAGTATGACCATCACGTGGTAATTAAAATTAAAAAAATGAACATGGGCTGTGGAGTATGAAAAGTTCAAGACAAAGAAAAGAACAAATGTTCATAGCTAATGAACTCTCAATTTTGCCCGCCATTGCTTTGTGAAGGCCAATATATTTCGAGTGGATGAAATTGGTTTACCTTTATGATAGCAACGATTTTGTATTCAATATAGCGAGATTTTTTTCAATTTAATTGAAGTGATATTCTTTCCCAAAGTTATGCTTGAATCCTCTAGAATAGATCAGTGGTGTCAAACTCATGGGTTTTCGAGAGCCGCATTGCATTTTGAAAATTGTAAAAAGAGCCGCAAACAGTTTTTGATAATGTATACTTGAAAGATATTTTTAAGATAGTTTTAGTTTGTGACCTATATTGTGATGCAACTGAACAGTTGGATTAAGTTTTATTATTTTCTTCAATTTCAAATGCAATTACATATAATATTTGCATTCAACTATTATTGCAACATTTGCAAGTTACTGTATTTATTATAAAAAATCATAAAATTCCATGTACAACCGTCGAAATCATTTTTGAACAAGCTTTGGATAAGGAAAGAATAATAAATACACTAAAAATGACTTAATCTAAATATATGAACCTAAAATTAACAAAATACTACAGTATATACTTAATGTTTTTTTAATTACATTTGTCCTGACGTTTGGCATCTTTTTGTGTCACCAGCATACTAAGGCCAGGCTGAAATGATTTTTATAGTACCAACTCTAACTAACGAGGTCACATGATCATGGGTTAATCTGGATCTTTGCGAATGTTTTAATTAATTCCAGTAATGCAAAAAAGTTACTCATTTTCATGTATAGATCAGTTAAAAAAACAAATGACAGATTAAGGATTGACAGGCATAGGATTGCTTGAATTATTATTGATATTGATTTTCAGTAACTAAGTCGTTGTATAATTATATTAATATACAAAACACATGGAAATTTTCTGTTCGAAGTTGGTCTTCGAATTTGTCATATTGGCTGCTGAGCTTATACTGTTTTTTCATTTTATTGATTGGAATATACAAATTAAACAATGTGCTTCAGAATTTTGTAAAATGCAGAAATATTGCAACTCCCATTTTCTTCGAAAATGCCACCTTCTTCATGTAATTTGCGTTTTAATTTAATCACTCAAGTGTTTTATTCAAGTATTCTTTGGCTAGCTGATGTGTATTCTTAATTGGGTCAAAATGGGGACAAAAAAAAATTAATATTCCAAAACTACTTTCAGTAAATTGTTTTCTGTGTGAATAATCAATTTCATTTTTAATAGTTTGAAAAAATATATTACATTTAGATAAAAAACAGAGAGCTATGGTCAAATATATGGACCCAATGGCAATAATTTCGATGACGTCATAGCGAAAAAAAAAGTAATAGCCTCTGGAGAAAAATTTTATCTTTAACCACTGAAAATTTCAAAGCAATTGTCCAGTATTCGAAGAGAAAAGCGATTTTTTAAAATGGAGACGGAGACAAATAACAATAACAACAAAATTTTGAAACGATCGTTATGTCCACCTCGTGTCCAAAAACTTCCAAAATACTATTACAATTATTGTTAAGCTTCTAGGGCCGCACTTGAAGTTCTCTGGGGCCACGAGTTTGACATCCCTGGTCTAGATTGAAGTTGTCCAAATATATATAACAGTATTTTATCATGAATGATGATTATACCCTTTCCGGAATTTCTTCTATAATACTACCAAAGTTGAGGAACCAAATATAACACTGGTGCCGTAATCCTCATTTTCCAAAGCTGTTTTAGGTATGTCTGGCGTGTTTTGTGCTTTTTTACAAAGAAGACCGCCTATGCAATCCTACGCATTGAAATTTTTAGTTATTTTCCTCAAGCCCTGCAGGATGTGGGGGGCCATACACAAATCTACCGGATGGTCGAATCTCGAATGTCTTTGCATGATTCCATAGGTTGTTTTTCTATTGCAAACATTTATGGAGTACTCTAATTATATTTCTTGGAATCACACTGTCACTGATATGTCGCCAGATTTCTGATATCTCCCCTTTTGCTATAGTTGTCCTGTGAATAAATAGTGGGAAATTGAGATTAGGCGAATAGTTGAAAGTTTTGCTTTATGTCGGCTTAATTTCTTGATTGATATACTTACTATTTTTGCTATTGCATCTTGTGCTGCAGAAGTCTCACAATGCTTAGACAGGTTGGTCCACAACTTTCATATCTAAAGAAAGAGAGGAGATTTATTAATTTTCGTTAGGAATAAATAAAGCAGTCTATATGATTTAGAATGGAAAAACTAATAAATCCAATATCTCATGTTTTATGTAAAAAATGTTTTACTGAATTTGGTATATAAACCAGCTAATAAAAGGATTTAGTCAGGAAATTATAAGCATTGGTGGCTCCAAATACTTGAGAGATCAGACTATACAATATAGACCGGTATGAGTGAAATGGTAGGTGAACTTGTCAACACTTTGATTCAATACGCAAATAAAAGTGAATGTGCAATAGTATGTTACAATGAACAGCAATCAGCAATGAGTATAAATCCTCACTGATTGAAAAAATCTAAACGGAGGTGCATGAACTATTTGAAACCATAAGGGGTAAGTAAATATGAAATTTCGGCAAATGGGCAACTACGTACCGTACTGAATTAATAACTTCGTAGTATTTGACAAAGGCTGGCTTTCCACATGCACTTAACAGTGCGATGCCCTGGTGTGATATACAACAATAGTATTTACCTTACCTTTTTCCGATTTCTTTTTACCTCAACTTTCCAAAATATCATTAAAATCGACAACAACTGTCAAAGCAGGCGCGAACACTATTCGTGCTATGCCTTGAAAGCAGCACACATCCGCTCGTTTTCGTCTCGCCAAGTATGTGCATTGGAGCGTGCTATCGAATACGATCTTCGGCCAAAAATGCCGGAGTTGCGCATCATGTTGTTTAATGTCATTGGGATACTTAAATATAAATCAGATAATTCAATGATCACTTTGTCTTACTAGGAGTTTTAATTTATTTACAGTAATAAAACATTAGTGTAGAAATAGCTGTGATAGACTAGGCTAAAATTCTTTACCGGTACTTTTAAAAAACAGATCGTTGTATGCGATGAATCATAATGATGATTTGAAACACATTCTTCTTATTACAGGCGCCAACTCGCAAAAGCACTCTTAAAATAGCCCCGAAAATTTTCAATGATAGAGTATAGGAAAAAATTTTTAGTGGTTCAAAGGTCGGGGAAAGATCCATTCAGTCACTTTGACAGTATTCAACCACGGAACCAAATGTCTTACATAATCGCCCTCCCTCAGCATTGATTCTTTCGGATTGTCTCCACGCTCTTAGAAGTATCGAATGTTTCATTAATTCATCTCACCATCTGGTTGCGCGAATAATTTTACACTTAATAATTTGAGAAAAGAAGGTAATAATGTCAAATACGTTTGGATGTACGGGTACCCCGGTCAGGCGAAATGTTACAGAAATAGCCTACATTTGTGTTAGTGTGCAGCAATGCTCTTGAATCAAATAGTACAGTCATCTTTATTCTTACCAGAGCATCCTTGCCTTACGTACACGCATACGGAGAGAGAGAATTTTTATTGTTTCGTCAAACCAGAAAACACATACAATATATATATGATAGCAAAATGAGAAAAATTAGATTTCGGTAGATGACAGGGTGGTAACGATACGACCATTAACAGTCATCTGAGTCGGTTACCACCCAAAGCAAGCACATGAATAAATAAATTAATAACACAGGTTCTGTAATATTACACTCTCAGGATATACATATGGAAAAAAAAACTATATACACTATGTAAAAAAAAAATGATATCTAATTAGAGATGAGAAAAATTTCTAATCGGGATTAGGAAGTTATTAAATAAATTTTAAATAGAGAGGAGCAAAAAATAAGAATTCCATACCAAATTTATTATTATTTATTATATTAATTTACACTTTCAATCTGTTCTGAATCTTTTGTGCTTACACATGATAAAATATGAGGGATATGATCACAGGGAAATTGAAGGTTCTATGAGTGACAATAATGTGTTGTGTGAAGAAAACCATAGATTGAGATATGAAATATAGGCATAACAGTAGTACAATTTTATATTTTCAATTCATTAGGGTGAAGAAAAAAAGCAGGATGCATATGGAACTTCTGCGAGATTTACACATTTACGGGAAACAATCAGATTGGTATTGCACCCTTCACAAATAATTTAGAAATAGACAAATATGACTATGAGTTGAAATGGATATGTGATATTAAATAAATTTTGACAAGGCTGGGTCAAATTAAATCACGATAGCCCAAAATATATTTCGTCTTGTAGTAATTTATTGCATACACGAGGTTTAAACTATTAGAGACTCTGAACAATTAGCAAATTTGTCTATATCACTATTGCACATTAGTTAAAAGAATATTGATCACATTAAATTCAATACACAGTATAATACTATATATATTAGATCAAGGCCCTCCTATCCTTTGTATCTAAATTGCAATTAAGATGAGCAATTTTGGGTTATTAGTTATACATATATGGCAAACTAAGGGAAGGAATAGTCAAACTATGGTATGTCACAATCAGAAGAACATAATGTACACAACTACATATAATATAAACTAAAATTATGACCCAGGGCAGTCTAGTTTCAAGCCATTGTAGTATGAACCACAATTGGATGATATGAAATGGGTGATATGATATATCACATTGTAGCTAAATATGTACTATATTTAAGACTACAATAAGATTAGCACCTTTCACATATTTTGTATATCATTTCATAAGAATCAACCAAAGAATATACATAACAAATGTACATGTTATTATTATACTCCAACAGTATGATTCAAATTAAATAAAGAGCGTCGATAGCATATGATTACTTAGAATTATTAGAATGAAGTAATTACAAAGATCAATTGTAAAATGAAAAGATTTTGCGGTATACATTAAAATAACCCGGTTAGAATAGTTTATAATCATAATAAAACAAATATTTGAATGTACACAATGGAAGTGCTTGATCTACTAATTTTAAGGCACAATTCAAAGCAGTATAATTACAAGGTTGCAAACATACACATGTATATAATACAAGTGAAAGTCATATGTGAGGTAGTCACTATGTTAACACCATAATTGGTAAACATGCAATAATAAGAAAATAAATGTTGAAAAGAAAACTGTGAATATACTATACATGAAATGGCTTATTACATTCTACTGACAGATATACAACTCGATTCTATTTATACAACTAGCATTTTCTGCCGTTTTCTCCTGGTGTAAACTTTAAAAGGCACACTTTAAATGTTGTTACCGATAATATTGTTCAGTCATGACCATACATGAAATGGCTTATTACATTCTATGGATAGAGATACAACTTATAACAACATAATTTCAAATTTTGACATGGAAAATAAATATAAATAAGAAGCCTTGCAAGAGAATGGCGGCAAAGTCCACCATGAACCATGCAAATGTGTCGCAGCAGTATGAGGCACAGGGTCGCACAGAAGATAAACAATCAAAGTGCCAATTTATTTATCGACGTCATTTCAACACGTGGCAAAGCGCTAAAATTCGTTTGAATATTTCTCTTGAGAAAACAACAACACCGCGATGAGGGCGAACTTAACTGTGAATCGTAGGGTCGGCTTATATGTGATTTTTATAAAATCGCAGTTTCAAAACAGTTTTTCATGGAGTCGGCTTATATACACGACCGTCGTATAAACGAGAATATGTGGTAAGTTATTGTTCACAGTTTAGGTATGTGGGTTCAGGTATGTGGGAATTTTGATAAAAAATGAAAATGTAGGCAGATTAGCACAAGTATTTGCAAAGTGTGTGTACCAGGTATAAATAACAATTTATACACATATCCACATCAGTATCCAATTTAAAATGGTACTTATTGGCTTTACAATTAATATTTGGATATGATGTGTTTCATGAACTCAGTTTTAAATTTTCTATATGAAAATGTTTTGAAAATGTCAGGAATGTCATTCCAAATTTTGGGTCCCATGATTCTGATTGAATTTTGAGCAAATTTAGAATTTGTTCGAGTAATAAAAAATGCACCCTTAGAAGCAGAGCGAGTGTTATAAGAATGCACAGAACTGCAGTCGGTAAAATACGAAATAAATGCCTCTGGTAACATATTATGTCTGAATTGGTACATCAATTTAGCAACTTCATAAATAAATACATCGTTTATTTTTAGAATATACAAACTCTTGTAAATGGGGCTCATACTATGACGCAAGGGAGTATTAGTCATAACTCGAAGAGCTCTATTTTGTAGAACAGAAAGAGCATTAAGTCTAATCTTATTTGCGGAACCCCATGCCACTATTCCATACTGTAAGTGAGAAAAAAAGAGAGAGAAATAAACAGTGCGCATGATTTTTTTAGGAATCAACCTTTTTAGTCTTGTCATTACTCCAACAGCTCTAGACAGTTTCAGTTTAAGGGAGTTGATGTGGTCATCCCATTTAAGCCTATTATCAATGAATATACCAAGGTATTTAATAGAGTCGCGTACTTTCAAACTGACCATTTAGAGTGAAATTAGGACCAGGTGCATGTTTATTTATATTACAAGGATGATTAATTAATAGAACTTGTGTTTTCTCAGGATTTATAGTTAATTTATTAGATTTCATCCACTGGGAGACATTTAGTAGGTTTTGTTCAACTTGACTGGTCAAATCAATAACACTGGAGGATATTGACGTTGTGCTCGTGTCGTCAGCAAAAAGTTTGACAATTGCTGAAGTAGTGTTCACCACATCATTAATATAAACAAGGAACAGAGTCGGGCCAAGAACTGAGCCCTGGGGCACGCCGACAGAAACAAGTTCATGAGGTGATTCATTGGCAGAGAATGAGACAAATTGATAGCGATTGCGCAGGTAACTAGAAAACAATTTACTGACAGTGCCGCGAATTCCATAATGTTGCAATTTGCTAATAAGTATTTTGTGATCAACTGTGTCGAATGCTTTTTTTAAGTCCAAAAATATACTACAGCCAACCAAGCCCTTATCTATGATTTCATAATATTTACTAATAATATCTAGAATTGCATGTGATGTTGAATGTTGATTTCGAAAGCCAAATTGATCGCTATTAATAATACAATGTTTATTTAGAAAATTTTGAAGGCGACTCAGCATCAACTTTTCAAAAACAATAGAGAGACATGACAGTATGGAAATGGGTCGATAATTGGATACCTCGTCCTTTTTTCCAGATTTATATACAGGAACAACTCTGGCAACTTTAAGATGGTCTGGAAATACACCATAAAGCACAGAGTAATTGAAGAGTTTACAGAGTATGGGACTTATTGTACTGCAGAGAAGTTTTATGAGATAAGCTGGTAATTGATCGTATCCAGTTGCTTTGTTTGTTTTTAAAGAATTAATAATGTTTACTACTTCATTTAATGAGGCATCTTCCATGAACATGGACGACTTATTTGGAGCACTCATGAATTTCAGGTGATCATGATCACTTACATTGTGAAAAGCAGAAGATAAGGTTTGTCCAATCTGAGAAAAATAGCTATTGAACATATATGAAATTTTAGCACTATCATGAACAACCTCCCCTGATGCTGGTCAATTAATCTTTGCGTAACATTATTATTAGTTTTTGAATTTATTAATGAATTAATTGTATACCAAGTCTTTTTTGGGTCATTTTATTTTTTTCAAAGCGTTTCGCAAAATATATCTCTTTGGCTTTCTTTTTCAAGTGGCATAATTTGTTTGCGTATCTCTTATAGTGCTGTTTTTGTTCAATGGATCCGTTAATAAAGTGCGTTTTATGCAATTTATCTCTTATTTTGGTTGAGCGCAAGATGCCAGCTGATATCCAGGGCTTTCTCTCTAATTGACGTTCCTTTCTGGTTAGGTTCCTTAGTGGTGCATGGTTGTCACATACACTTAAAACTTTAGAAATGAAATCACTGAAATGAAGATTAAAATTTTCAGGATTAACATTAAAAAGGTCATAAGAGGTAAAAACATTCAGGGCGTCTTGAACAAAGTTAACACTATTAAAATTTCTCATGTCACGTTTTAATTTATGTTGAAAGTGGGAAGATGCATGACTAAGTTGAATTTGACAAAAAATAGGATAATGATCTGTCATACAATTTTGCCAAACTAAAGACGAAACACATTTTTCAGATATGTTGGAATAAATATGGTCTATTAAAGTAGCACTTGAACTAGTTACTCTTGTCGGGAGGGTTATTACTGGAATAGTGGCATGAGACATCAACATTTCAAGAAAACCTCTTGTGAATGTTGAGAAGCTTAATAAATTAATATTAATGTCACCTAGTATAATGAATTTCTTTTTATCGAATGCCAAATTCTGAAGCGTGTTGCTAAGTTCGCTCATGAAATCAGATTCATTGGATCCTGGGTGGCGATAAACAATACCAATAACAATGGAAGAAAACTTTTCAAAATGAATAGGTATTTCAACCCAAAGCTCTTCACATGAGTTGACATTTAGCTTATATTTAGGCACCATTAAAGGATTGAGATGAGACTTAATATACAATCCGACTCCACCAGCATGAGTTTTGGTTGGTGCATGGAAAAAATCATAACCTTCAATATATATTAACAATTGGGTCTGCTTTAAGTTTAGTTTCAGAAAGTGCTATTACTGTAGGAATTGAATTTAGATCAGATATAATGTTTGACAGTTCATCGATATGCTTTTGTAAAGACCGAATGTTGAAATGTGCCAAAGTAAATCGCTTATCAGGTGTACCCGAAGAGCCTAAGGTGTTATATACATTTTCAATAGTCTCAAGTGATAAGCAGGGTTTAACATTCTCAAAATTGAAATCAGTAGTATCAAGAGGTTCTAATTCATTGTCTGTTATATATGGGCAGCTATAAAATGGAAAAATTGATTTCAAACAAGCACTGCAAAGACTACTATTACTTGTAAAACAGTTAAAGCAATACTGCTGGGCAGCCATTTTACAGGTCCAGTAGGCTACACAAATATATCAATACATAATTTAGGATAATTTATCCAAATCTGAGAGCTTGGTAATTGGGATTCTAGGACTATCTTTAGATTTCTTCAAATAAATGTTGCCATTGGTTGTCCATAGTCTCTCAAACATTTTAGACTTTTTTATTAGTCTCGAGTTATAAAGAAGATTGTTCCTGAAATTAGTGAGGTTTTCGTTTATGTAAAGTGAGGTCATACTGTAATCCCAAAGTCTTTGATTCGTGACGCGTCATACTTTTTGGCTATAAACTCATTCTTTTTATTTCTGTTGGTGAAACGCACAATGATGGGCCCAGTTTTGGACGAGTCTCTCCTTGGAAGACGATGCGAAACTGAAATGTCCAGCCTTTCAACAGTTATGCCCAGTTTTTTCCCTATTCCCACAACTATTTTATCTGTGTTTTCACCATCTTTGTAAGGAATTCCATGAAATTCAAGATTTTCTCTTCTGATATATTGCGCGAGGTCTTCGAAGTCATGATCAAAACGCTGCTGAAGGGAGTTACAAATGCTGAGTAGGGTTTCATTTTTTGCAGTCAGATCTCTCACCACCTGGTCCAGTTTTGCAATATAATCTTTTTGAATCTCGAATTCTGCACTAATAAATTCTTGACTAGCTTTGACAGTGCATAAGTCGGTGTCAAATTTAGTATTGTTGAAACGCAGATATTCCAGTTCTTGAGTTACTTTGGAGAGCTTCTCAACTAATTGGTCAGTCTGGAGAAACATTGTTTCCAGTTTCTCAGTCATTTGTTGGGTATTATTCATGACTGAGTCGTTGATTTGACTTGATATTTTCTTATCGTGTTCAGTTATTGAATCTTCAAGTAGGTCCCTTATGCTCTCTTCTACGATTGCTTTATTTCGATTTTTAAATTCTTTGTTATGCGTGATTCCATCAGTTCCAATGTTGACTTCAGTTGGTCAATTTTGCTTTCCATTTTAATCAGATTAGAACGACTATATAAATTAGTTTTAAGTAAGTATATGCAAGAACCTGTGAATCCTTAATCAAATAGCGAATAATGGTGAAAATACGGACCACTTCCACAAACCCCTAATGATAGTTGCGAAAATTATGTTTTAGTTTTGCCGCGGGACTCACATTAAATAGTATGTGACATCACGAATTATGTTTTTTTGTGTGAAATATGGCGAATGTAAAGAATTCTTATGCTTTTATGAATACCGGTAGTACGATGTGGACATAAGGTATTTATAACATATTGACATAAAAATGACTGTTATTTCCTAACTTTTTAATATCGACTTGTACCTTTGATACTGCACACGGTAATTGGTGAGTCATATTATTGTTCCTAAGCCAACACCTATTTTCACTTTCGAGAGGAAAGTTTCACATAAATGAGTTATTCCTATTGCCACCGCAACATACATTGCCATTTGCCCTAGACTTATCTCCAACAACATAATTTTTTTAAAAAAAAAATTATCTTTCCAGAACGAGTAACTCAAATCCGTGAATGCCTGGGGATCAATGACTTCAAGTTGTATACATTTCACCTCTTCCATCGGAATGTTGAATGAACACATGAAAATTTTATATATATTATGTGTGGACTGCTTGTGTTCAATCAAATTGACAACCCGGGCGTAAATTCCTACTACCGATTAAATTATGCCCCAAACTCGTAACGGAGCGTAATACTACGTCAAAATTGCACGACAAACGAGAATGATATTTTTCCAAGCCAAAGAATATATATATATATATATATATATCTTATGCGAGGCAACGCTTGGAGAAAGGACGGGACTTTAAGGCAATGGACCTTTCCCCGAGCATCGACTTCCTTGTTTACTCCGTGACATTGGCCAATCAGCAAGATGCAAAAAGTGACGTAACAATGCTCCCCTCTCGCATCCGCTCAGACACTTTTCACACTCAGACAGATTTTCAAGCGTGGTCGTAAACATTGCCTCGTTTCCGCCATTTTGAACTCTATTCATTAGTTTTCAGTTGTGTTTCGGAAACTTAAATATAAATCAGATAATTCAATGATTAATCTGTCTTCCTAGGAGTTTTAATTTAATTGCAGTAATAAAAAATTATAGTATAAATAGCTGTGATAGACTAGGCTAAAATTCTTTATCGGTACTTTTAAAAACAGATTGTTGTATGCGATGAATCATAATGATGGTTTGAAACAAATACCCCATTTTACAAGCGCCAACTCGCAAAAGCACTCTTAAAATAGCCCCGAAAATTTGGCAATGGTAAAGTGTAGGAAGAATTGTTCGGGGGTCAAAGGTCGGGGAAAGTTCCGTTGTTCTCGGTCTTTCATCACAGCGCGATATAATATGTGTCATTTGAACAAACACTTAAAAAAAGTTACGGGTTTTATTATAAATAGCTTGTTAGAGATCAGCGGGAAATATTTCCCGTGGGCCGCAAAAAATCGTCCGGCGGCTCACATTATGCCGTTTAAAGTTTGACATATGGAGAAATAATAACTGCTTATATATATATATATTGTTACAATTTTCATCTTGAAAAGCATAGTGTCTGATTAGATATTTTTATAAAGGTAACAAGCTTCTTGTATATAATTGAGCATATATGCTATAGTATTCTGACACCAAATTGTCTTCGCGCACAGTAGGCCTACTACAAAGTGTGAACTTCCTCATTTTTTCAAATTTTCCAAACGCTTCATGTGATCCAGCACCATGTTAGCGGGTATGAGGTCGAAAAGAAATATTATTATGCGATTAGGGTGAAATCAATTATATGGACTTCTATTTAAAAGCCGCAAAGGTGGAGATATTACGCGTCTTAAGGTGGATATATGTGGTATAATCGCTATACCCCCTTTCTCCAATATCTTATTCCTACGCTTCCAACTCGTCCTTCAAAAATTTGCATCCTCGTTACCGCGTCTAAATAAATCTTCCATCCAGATTTGATTGAAGCAAGAAACGATTGCATATAGGTATAGTAGATTCATTGATTTTAGAAAAACTTTTAAATATATGAATTTGCAAATTTTGGATATAAATTGGGCATCAACCCCACAGGTTTTTTTTCAAATGCAGTGTTTCCAGTTTAGAAAATATTCCATATTCAAAAATATCATTTCAGAGCGTATTCTAAATAGTTAATTTTATATTCATCCGATCTCCATATTTTTAACACGCTCAATGGCAATTTAATTTTTATTGTAGTACCTTGTTTCCCCGAAAATAAGATTGGGTCTTATTATAATTTTTTTCTAAAAAATAACACTAGGGCTTATTTTCGGGGGATGTCTTTGAGGCAAACCTAATACAGAAAGAAACAAACTTGTATACTAGGCTTTTATTAGCTCAAACGTCGACTAAGAGTCTTAAAGCAGCACAAACCAAAGAATGACTTTCAAAATCAAAACACCACGCTACTAAAGGACGAACAGTATACGTCAACAGGGTCAAATGTCGTGGCTGTTTTAGGCATTGCTAGATTTCAATACATAAATCACCACATTCTCCCCAGCTGATAAAAGTAAGACAATAAAAGTATGATAATAACTCAAGTATGGAAACGTTAACATGAAATAAATGGATTCAAAAGTCGCCCAATTACGAGGCCCAGTCTCCATAACGATCAGGCGCCCTTTTGAAACGGCTCGACCGACGAATAGGCATCTCTTCCCTCTTAATTGGAGTAGAAGTTTTATCTGCTACTTCAATTAAGTCATCCGAAGGGATTGTGTCAATTAAATGGCACACCCTTAGGAGTTGATTCCGATATGGATTTAGTCTTTTCAAATTCCAATTGCTTGTAGTCAGATTGTACAGTTTCAGGGAATCGCGCCAGATCACTCGTTGAAACCGTAGATTCTCGACCATCGGGATAACGAATTAACGAGTATTTGGTGTTAGCTTCCAGAAGCTCAACTTCTTCACAAATCGGGTCGCTTTTCGCTCGTACAAACTTGCGAAGGAGTACTTTACCGCCATTCAATAGCCAGTCTGGTACGGAGTTTCCAATCATAGATCGTCTTTCAAAATTGAACATGCGATTATGTGGCGTAGTACCAGTGGAGGTGCAAAGAAGTGATCTTGTCGCATGTAGAGCGTCTGGCAGAACTTCCTCCCGAGCACTCTCGGGCAGATTTCTTGATAACAGCATTAGTTTGATAGTTTTCCATATGGTCTGATTTGCCCTTTCGCACTGGGAATTCCCTTTCGGGTGATAAGGAGTTGTATTGCTAGTCGCTATACCCTTTCTTGCAAGAAACTCTCAGTTCATTAGCCAAAAATGAAGTTCCTCTGTCGCTGTGAACATACTCCGGTAGACCAACCAATGAACATAATGATGCGAGACATTTAGTGACAGTGATTGCAGTCATGTCTGCACATGGGTATACAAAAGGGAATCTACTATACTCGTCTAATACCACGAGCAAATATCGCCTTTTTCCCGCGACGGGACCTTTAAAATCAATACTAATTCTCTCCCACGGCCGAGTAGCTTTGACCAAGTGATGGCTCCCATCGAATCTATAAAAGTTGGCTTTTATTTGGGCACATTGTCGACAATTAGCGCATTCTCATTTCACATCGTCAACAGAAAAGGGCAAAGATTTAGAGCGAATGAAATGAAGTAATCGACGAACACCAGGATGGCTCAATTGAGTATGAACTTCTCTTAGACTCATTGTACAACAAGCGTTGCTAGCACAAATTCTTGACAATGCGTCCGGTGCCACATTTTCTACACCTGGGCGATGAACAATTTTATAGTCAAATATGGAAAGTTCTAGTTTCCACAATTGTAACTTTGTATTCTTAATTTTACTTTTATGATTTTTCTGAAAAATGTATGCCAAAGCCTTTTGATCAGTTATCAGTTATAAGTTCATATTCCATTTATTTTTCCATATATTTGCATCCAAATCAACAGTAAATAATATGCAAGAATCATATTGATAACAAAATGTATTCTAATCAATTTTAATATATCTAAAACAAAATCTTCATAAATATTATTTGTAAATTTACAATACATGAAAATATGTGAAACAATCTCAGGTTCTCCATTACATAATACACACATTTCATTCCCTGCTTTTCTTCCAATTTCTGACTTTTGTTTTCAATGGCAAGATATCCCAGAGTAATTTATAGTTAAAATCAGTATTTTTAATAAGTGAACGAATAGCTCGCAGAGCCATGTGATTCATATAGAGGACAGAGCTATGATTGAGAGAGGCCGTGGTTCGCCATATATTTAGGCCTTCTTTCCAGCTTTCCTCTCCCCTTGGATAAATATGTAAATCCCATGTAATATCAATTAATAAATACATAAATAACCGCACTCCTCTCGGCGACTGGTTCATATTCTGTTCTGTAGATACGTTTTCTGTCTAATAGATATGCATTCCCAATAAGCATATGCTCATAGTTGTATGCTACCATACTTCGAAACCCAAAATCAAATATGTATTGAAGAATTAAAGACCTCAAGTCAAGTTAATACGGCCAATTTCGCACCCGACTCGGCTGAAGCAAGGGATTTTGGCAGCGAGCAATGCGTTTTCTTAATATGCAACGAACCATTTAGCTGGACGACGTAAAAATGCAGGGTGCAATGCCATAATGAGCAAATCTTTGCAAGTTTCCACTCATTGTATATATGCTCATTGACTAGAGTGATTACTACCGGAAAATATGACCTTTTGACTCGAAATGCGTTGGCGCACCGCGGTGTGAACAAGTTCAACACACTGCGTTTGCGTCTGCGTAGAAATCCTACGAAACGCATTGCGTTGGTGTGAATGCGTCGAACGGGAAATATTGCGTACCGGTAGGGGTGATCAGTCGTTCTTCAGTTTTGGTGTTGATATTTTCAAAGGTATATTCAGGTAGTTTATTTTGTTGCTCTGTTAGATCAATGACATTAAATCAATCAATGTCGTTGGTTAGATGAAAGATCAATCAATGCTGTTGAACTGAAAATGCTACGCGCTGTGTGTTTCGGTATTTACTATTAGATTTGTATCTCGTGATATCAACATGATCAAGGCCCCTCCACCGGAATTAAAGAAGTTTATGGATAAAAGATTGGATTTAAAGTTTGTGTTTGGCAGTCGTCGGGTGCGGTCGCATTTTTGAACGGCGCAGAAAGATTAGATTGACAACAATGAACCAGCACTTAAGGAATATCAACAAGTAAAGGCCGAAATATGAAATTACATGGCAGCATAAAGGCAACATACGGACATCATAACAGAATCGAAAGATGAATACAACAGGGATTGATTCAGATATTTTATTTTGTGACAAAGAGTATGATATACTGCTATTTCTAGAAATTCCGCTTGAATACTGAGTATTCAACTATATATGTGTAAATAGTTTGCAGTGTAACTTACAGTGTAACATTTTCAAACATTCATTTAGTGGCATATTTTTGATTTGTTCTCTCTGTGTGTATACCGGTACTGTTTTAACAATGTTGGCCACGTCAATGTATCAATTAGGCTACAGACCTGCTCACGTGTGATTAGTGTTTTTCCTAATAATTGCTTTTATGAGTGTCCGCACACCGAATTTGCCGCCATGGTTTTGCGTTTGTTTGTATATTAAACCACTTATCACCTTTTCCGCAATGCCCAATCTAGCAATCAGTGTAGTTTTTCATGGCTTGGTTTTTCTTAAAGCTTTCATGGCTTCATGAGTATGACTATCGTCGCAAATTCATTACATTCCACTCCCCACATTATCTTTGCATGAGGTTGTAGGTATTGGTCATTATCAACGTAATTGTTAAAAGAGAGTACAACAGCCCGAAATTTTATTACTATCGTGTATTTTGTTTTTTAAGTTTGGCCCAAGCCTCATTTAATTGGGCTTGTGTTTTTGTGTGCGTGCTGGTGGGCAGGCACATGAGATACTTCATGTTTTAAACTTTTTTGTAGGTTTTGCTTGCCCTCCAGAATTCTCCATTTTAAATTTAGGTTTGTTATGGAGTTTTCGAAATAAACTATCTATCTATCTATCTAGTAGAGTTTAAGTGTCGGATTCCGTTGTTACCTGAAAGTTTCCATGGATGCCAGACAGTTGATTGGCCCTGGCAAGGGTCGTGGAAAGGGAAGAGGTCGATCCAACAGTGGTCAAATGGGAGGTTATGATGGAAGACGTGAGTACTGATAGACCTCTACCGGTATATATAAATATTATATACCCATATTTCTGGGGTCTCCTGAAGTACGCGCCGCAGGTACTTATAGTTGGCCTGTCTCGACAATTTTTGCATATCTAATATTTAACCCCCACATGACTATGTCATCCGGAAATTACATCACTGCATCACTATCGCGTCATAGAGCTTTCTAAAGTCAGAAAGTATAGTTACGATCGTCCGAAATGGCATCTGTGTAGCGATCTCTCTTTTATCGCTGTATCGATATCGTTTCGACGAGAAATACGGTAGTCTAGCTTGCTCAATTTCGGATGATTGTCTGTGCAACCATCCGTATACTTTTGAGGGCCGTATTACGTCATTGCGACTTCGCAGTGATGTAATTTTTGGATGACGTAGTCATGCAGTCATGTCTGCATGTGGGGGTTAGAAATTACACATGTAAATATTGTTGAGCCAGGCCAACTAGAAGTACCTGCGGCGCATACTTCAGGAGACCCTATTTCTGTATTTTGACTACCCCAAACTGCCAAAGTACTAGACCAGAAGAAGAATAAGTATGACATGAGCTATTGGTGTTGAATTTTTAAATGGATAAAAAAAATCAAAGAAGTTACCACATTTCGACATTCCAGCATTTTGATACGCACAGACGCTTGACTTTCTGACTGTGTTCTGATGTTATAGACAAAAGATTGATATAAAATTGTAATGTATATTAAGAGAATTTCATATTGCTGTATTGCTCTACATGCTGACATGCAAACATGTCACACAAGCGCAGAGACTCTGAAACATGTTGGCCTCACATAGTATGATAGTAGTTGATGAATTCAGGAATTTTTCTATTGATAATGAGTTAATGTATAACAGTATAAATTAACATACAAAATATTTTAACTTGGAAACTTATTTTTACAGATACTTCTTCTTCAATGTCCACTAATGCTAAAGCATCGGCAATCTTCGAAAACACAAGAATCCTACATGCACAGGTAGCCCATACAACATAAATGATTAAGTGATAATGATTAGAGAAATAGAGTTTGAATGTAAATAAATCCCAGGGCTTGTTTACGTATTTTGCATATTGACTTTGATAAACTTTTATGAAGTTAAAATTATGTTAATTAATGCTTATGTTAATATTTCAGTTCTATAACCAGTGTTCAAAAAAATAGTCATATTTCCACTGCAATGTGGAGACATGTTAAAGTATCGCTTGTCTAGATCATCTTGAAACTTTTTGGATTTTTTTTATGTTTGTTTACTGAAATAATTCTCAATATGTTTATACTTCATGAATCATTTTGAGTGTTCTTTTTACTTTTTCAATTGCATTTATTACTCCTAAAATTAATTTTGCTTCCAGGCATCTCAGCAGGCAATGAAAAATCAAGATATGTATGAATCTTCATCGGAAGAAGATGATTTAGACGAAGATCAGATTTTGTCACAATTGATGAAAAATTATAAAGGCATCAAATTAAATTACTTTAATATTATACTTAGAGCTGTAGCCAGTATTATGGTATTTAGTGAATGGTTTACCCCTTTTTACTGATCATCAATTTACATATAAGAATGAGCTGTTGTATGTCTATCATTTTTAATTTATGTTAATAAGAGTAAGAATATAACATAATTGTTTATCTTAATAAGGCTTTTCCTCAAATCATCAAAATCGCTAACTTTAATATTTATGTAAGAATAATTCTTTAAAAAAACTTAATTTTTATCTGTTACATGACTTGTGGCAAACTGTAAAAACTTGACAACCATTGATTCATCTGCTTCTGTTTTAGGTACATTGAATGGATCTGATGCAGATGATAATAATTCCATAAGTACCAGACAATACTTGTACGAAAGTTGTCAGTCTGGAGCAATAACATGTCTTGTTTGTATTTCAAGTGTAAAACGACAAGAAGCAGTAAGTTCTAGTCTAGGGAATTTGAAGATTGTGATGATCTAATATTTTAGGGTAAAATTAAAAATTGGAAATAATTATGTATTTATGATAAATAGTTTGTGTATAGAGTAGACCTAGTCAAGCATCATAGGATGTGGATGGGGATCTGATCAAAAAACTTTTTCATTTAGATTTGGAATTGCTATGGCTGTTTTGCAACATTTCACTTGAGTTGTATACAGAGGTGGATAAGAGAAGGTATAGCTAGGAAGAGTGTCTTATCTGATGAACATTTTTCTAATAAGGAGCATCCTTGGTATTGCCCCAAATGCAGGTAATGCTAATTACAAAATAGTTCGGTATATTTTTTAATGAAACATTTCCATATTTACTTCTAGTGAGATTTTTACTGTTTGTGAGTCAACAAGGAATTTTTTGGGTTCAGCATTGCCGTTTCAAGTCATCACATTGTGGGTTTCAATGAGGTTTGAGCCCGATATATGGAACTTGCAGTACTCCCGTAGTGTGTGTACCTGGTTAGGGTCAGGCAATAATTTTTCTCCGATTTTCCTTATTCAAGTTCGGGGACTGTCTATGTTAGACAAGTGAATATACCCCCTGCGCATAGGTTTCAGTCCCCTCAAACAACTTGATACAAAATAGTCGAGCAAAATTAGTTACCTTCATAAAATTTGGTATTATTTGAAGTCTTACGAAAGTGACTGCTGGATTATGCCTGACTCTGAGCAAGATTCAAAACAATTGGTTGTTCAAATGCATTATTAATTCAGTTGTCACTTGTCAAGCATGAACCTGACTGCTATTTTATAGTTTTCCTATCTTGAATTTCTGTTTATCTAACATAATATTCTTATATCAAATGTAGGTTCGAGTACAAACAACATGAATGTCCGACTCGTTATATTTGTTATTGTGGAAAAGTTGAAGATCCACAATTCGATCCATGGTTGGTACCTCATTCATGTGGTGCAACATGTGAAAGGCTATTAAGGCCGACTTGTGGTCACAAATGTCTATTGCTTTGCCATCCAGGTAACTACTCAAAAGCTTGTGATGATCTGTTTTGAAAATAAAATTGTGATATGCTCCTTGCTCATACTATAGTGGGTGGCCGACCTACTTTCGACCACGGTCGATAAAAATCTTCAAAATAGCTCACGATCTACTGATCGGTAATACGGTCATAAAGAAAAAACAAATGGGTACTGACTACTGAATATGTGAATCACTGCACACACACATATAAAAATTCCACCGTTTCCAATAAGCTCTGTGTGTGCATTCTTAATGGAATCGACACAAAATTAGTATTTTATATACTGTATGTTTATATTGTATTTTGCGCATGTACACAACGGCTTCAAGGCAATTTTTTTGGGGTATGTTATTAAATCCACTCAATAGATGCGATCGACATGTTGGCCACCTCTGCTGTACTGTATCATAATTTTTTTTATACTACTGATAATCACAAATCCAAGTTCCAACTTATTTCATTTTGATTTATTATGTGCATATATGAGATGAGCATGCATCAAAAGTATATAGACCACTGAGGATAATTATAAAAGGGGTTTTCAGAATAAAATAAAATTCAAATTATTTGAGACTAAAATTTCAGTTCATTTCTATAATGTATTTACTTGTAATTGATTTATTATGTAAAAACATTGCTTAGTGCAAAAATAATAGTGTTATTTAAACATTCGTGTAATCTATCCAAGGTCCGTGTCCTCCTTGCCCCAAAATGGTCAAGACAAGTTGCTATTGTGGGAAGAAACCTCAAACTGTAAGAAGGTGCGGAGCTGCTTCATGGTCTTGTGGGCAACAATGTACCAAACTGCTGAGCTGTGGAAAACATAATTGCAAGGTGTGTTTTGGAAGAAATATTCCTAAATGCTGCAAGTAGACCTTGATGTAAATCTGAAATCTCTGCTCGTTTGGAGCCTTGTTCATAGTAATTATGAGAAATTTCTTCTTCGTTTTAATAAAAAAAGTTGTATAGTTTGTTATATACAGAAGAAAATTTATTCAATGCAGATTCATGTACCCTTACTCTAAAGATAGATCTGATCTTTAAGGAGACGACTGAAGTGCCTGAAATTAATGAAACTATAAGAAATTATACCGTTAGATAGCGCACTAGTAAATAGGCTACTGTTTGATGCGTAAGTTGAAGAAGTTCAGGTTCAGGTCACCATTTGTAAACCAATGTGTGGTATAGTTATAAATAAGTGTACAGTTGAATCTTAAATCCGAGCATTTTTCTTGATAAGGATAATTGCCATGAAGGCATTTGCGCAACTTGTCCACACACAAGTCTTCAATCTTGTACTTGCGGGAAACACAGAGAGGAAAGACCTTGCTCTGATCCTAAGTGGAAATGCTCTGATGAATGCAATAAACTACTTTCATGTGGAATTCACAAATGTGATAAGGTTTGTATGCGAGTTTATTATTTCAGGCTTTTTAATTCATTAACTGTATATGAATTGCATCCAGATGATTACATCGTATTTCGGTATTTTTTTTTCAATGTTCAGTGAATTCGAACTGGTAATCGATCTAGATTCAAACAGTTTTGTATTCCATTAAATTTTTTCTTCATTTTGATTAATCCATGGTTTGACTTTACAAATTAAAATCATGTGAATTCTTTGTAGTTATTTCTGTTGTTACTTCTTGTAGCATTCCTGTTTCTTTATTGTCGGTAAAACATCATTATTTTTTTTCTAGGTCTGCCATACTGGAAATTGTGGGGATTGCCCTAGGTCAGGCTGGAGAACATGTCCCTGTGGTAAAAGCAATACCAACGATCTTCCATGTTCAGAGGATGTTCCTACATGCAATGATACATGCGGCAAAAGTCGTGGATGTTACGGAGGACACAAATGTACACGAAGATGCCATTATGGCAGTTGCGGACCTGTAATTATTTTTCTCAACTAATTTAATTATGTTATTCGCTTTGTAAACAGTCTCTCAAATCTCTTTAGTGTTCGATTGTCATTGAAAAGCAATGCAGATGTGGGAAGAAAAAAAAAGAAATGCCTTGTCATAAAGAATTCACATGTGACATGAAATGTCAAAAAATGAGAGATTGTGGAAATCATCAATGCAAGAGAAAGGTACAAATTTCTAGAACGAGTTTGCAACTGTAGCTTAATGAAAATAACAATCCTATTAGACCCAGATGTTCTAGAATTTGTTTTCATTGAATATCATTCATGATTGGACAATGTTCAATTGATGACCTTCATTTCTCTCAGATATACTCTTAATACACCCCAAGTTTAAATTTCTCTATTATATTATAAAATGATTTAATAACCTTTTTTCTCTCTCAACCTCAAATTTAAACTGAATTTCAATCATATGGGACTTCTACTAGAAATCAGCATAAAAGCAGTTATCCATAATGATATGTTTAAAAGTATATCACTTCAATAATTTTATATATACCATTTATACCAAACTGGGCACATCACTCGTGACTCCATGCTGTATGTTTTCAATTGGAATAAACTTCAAACATAAGAACAATATCCCGGAAATATTTTTCAGTGTTGTGAGGGTGATTGTCCAAGATGTGAACAAGTTTGTGGACGTATGTTACAATGCAAACGACACAAGTGTCAGTCAAATTGTCACAGAGGTCCTTGCTATCCATGCATTTTAACTTCTCGTGTCACGTGCAATTGTGGCAGTACAGGGATTACTGTTGTATGTGGCAAGGAAAAAACAACAAAACCGCCAAGGTACTACTACTACTCATATAAAATAATATGCAGTAATATGCAAACCTAACATAAATAATGTGCCAGAATAGACCTGGGCTTCATAAGCAGCGTCTGCCTCCTTATTATACAATAGCCTATAAGGTTACCAATATAAACAATGAATAATTGTGAATTCGTCCTACTGGCACTGATATTTACATGCCTCTTTATCATACAATATAACGGTTACCAATATAATTAATAAATAATTGTGAATTCGTCCTACTGGCACTGATATTTACATGCCTCTTTATCATACAATATAACGGTTACCAATATAATTAATAAATAATTGTGAATTCGTCATACTGGCACTGATAAATTTTTAGTGTTTTCATTGTGTTTCCCGGTGACGTTTTATTCTTTATGTGTTGTATAGTTATGTTTCATACTTTTAAAGCCTTTTATAAAATATTACAAAAATAATTATTGTATATCGTGGAAATATATTCGGGGTGGGGAGGGAACCTTGTTAAATTTATAAGATCATCATAGGCCATTTTACGCAGATATATCGTCTGACAATTTTATTTGTCATTGCACTAATCAATCCTCTTATTTATTTTTAGGTGTAAGAAACCGTGTAAGATTCCATCATCTTGCCATCACCCCACAAGACGACCACATAACTGTCATTTTGGTCCGTGCAAAAGATGTACGCAGGTAATTGCATTTGCATGTTTGATCTAAATAAAGCAGTGGACATGCCGAATTAAAGGTATATTGTTTGAAAAATATTTGCATATACCGGTATATATATTTATATTGCACATAATTCAATTGCAATATTTTGAGACTTTAGTTATAATTGCATTATATATTTCCCTGACAATGATTAGATCACATATATATTTATTATTTTCATTCTGTCTCTTTTTTCCAACTACTCCATACATTCGATTATTTTGATCTTGGAAATTTTTTCAAAATACTGGTAATTGTTGGAATTGTTCTTGGAATGATTTGAAATATCTTACCAGTTGATCTTCACTATCAACATGTGAAAAAATCTACTTGCATTTCTAGGTTTGCAGTATTGTGATGAAATGTGGACATTCCTGCCCTGCTGATTGCCACGATGAAGTTTTAGTGAAAAATGAGGTAATTTCGACATTTCAAAGGTCATTTTAGAGCAGTGGTTCTTAAACTTTTTCGAGCGCGACCCAAATCTGAGTTTTATAAATACTCGCGACCCAATCCTAAAAAACGCAAAATGTGTTTTTAATGTTAGTACAGTTTGACTCAAATACAGACTATTTATTAGAAACAGTCCATTGACTCAGTGAGATTGATGAAACTGAAATTTCCTTTTTCATTATATCTTCAATACACAGCTCTATTTTACTTAACGCAATACGCAAGTTGTCACGGGTATCTAAGCGATTGCGAGCTTAGTTTTGATAACCGTCAGTGCCAAATATCCTCGCTCGCACAAGTGCCTTGTCGCGAATTGTAGCAGAAAAGGCGTCCGCTGTCCGTCGCAAACACGACATCCTAGCTGGCTTTGGGTATCTCTCGCAATATACAACTTTTTACTCGTCACATGTGCACGCACTGCTTCGTTTGCGTTTGCGGTAAATGGTGCCTCGAGATGAAGTCACATTTTCTCTAGATATTGAATAATCTAATGTCGAGAAGCGAGCTTTTTCCTTGCGTCGTCTATTACAATTTTCATTACCAAAAAGACACCCATTTTTGGTTATTTTAATCCACTAAGACGACATTCCATGCGGTCAACACAACGACAAGCGACATGCATGGTTACCGATACCAGAAAAATAATACACGTGACTGGCATATCAGTATTGTGATGTAACAATGAGCTCAAGACAGTTCTTTCCGTGAATGAAATTTTTTATTTCATTATTTTTAAATACCAGAGTTTAGAAGCTAAATTGAAACATTGGGAAAGCTGAAAATTCGTCCTTCTCTTAGATTGCCCTTGCATTGACGACCTTGTCGCGACCCATTTTTAAACCTTCCGCGACCCATGTTTGGGTCGCGACCCATACTTTAAGAACCACTGTTTTAGAGAGTGAATTGTTGATAGTAATATAATTTCATGGTCTGTTTTTTTATGCAGGTCAAAGCAGCCGGACCGTGGGAATTGCCTTATCAATCTGAAACAACTATTAAGTGCATACCTTGTCCTCCTTGTAAGTCTCCTGTTCCCAAAGTTTGTCTCGGAGATCATGAAAGGTCTAATTTGCCATGTTTCGAAGCAAGGAGGTATTGCTGTGGCCGGAAATGTGGTCGTCTCTTAAAATGTGGAAATCATACATGTTCTCTCTTATGTCACACAGTGGAGGGTTCCTTAGATCAGAAAATGGTAAGATGGTATTCTCAAAATCAATTATAATAACTATCAGCAACAATCATACTTACATTGTCATTCAGACGTTATACATATCCAATTTTCCAGTTGGAACTTTTATAAAAACATTTTTACATTTTTCGCAGGCTGGTAAAAATTGTGCTGCATGTGAAGAGCCATGTACAAAACCTCGGCCAGAAGGCTGCATTCACTCGTGTTCACAGCCTTGTCATTCTAACCCCTGTGAACCTTGTAAAAAACGTATCAGAAAAAGATGTCACTGTGGCCTTGTTATATTACATCACCTTTGCAGGTTTATTTTTGTTAATAAGTTAACATGATAAAATTCTGTCATTCACTTACTTTTATGGAGTGTGGAAAGTGTTTAGCAAACATTGTTTTTTGGGTACTCCTGTAGTATGTGTACCAGGTTAGGGTTAAGCCATAATTCTATTATGATTTTCCCTAATTTAGTTCTACTAGGAGTCTGGGACAGTCTGTGTTAGCCAAGTGAATATACCCCCTGCCCATAGACTTCGGTCCCTTTCACAACCTTATATAATGTAGGCGAACAAAATTACTTACCCCATATTGGTATACATACTTCTGGAGCACCGTTTTTTGTTTGAATCATGATTACAACTAAAGATATCCAACTTGCAATGTCAGTATTCTTCTCTTGTAATCAATTGAGTTCATTTCACCTTAAACTTTACTGACAGTAAGAATACTGATTACTATCTTGTAAAAGATTTCCACTCAGTGGCCTGGTTTTCAACTTTGTAGCAAAGAAATATGATTGCACTCAAAATGTTGAACAAAACTTCAGCGTAACTGAAAGGGGATTCTATCCAGAAATATAGGAATCACCTGTCAAAGCTTTCAATACAATAAACAGGTTATTCTAACGAAGCAAAAGCAATTATTTTAAAATCAGTGGTGATCAATTTAATTAGTCTATTTTATATCAGTATTTTATTATATGGTATAGGAAACAACTTTCATTTTTCAAGGAGTACCTGTTTGCCCGAGTTGCTGAACTAAAATATGTTATTGTAATTTTCTTATTGCATTTTCAATATATCTTTTTTCTTTGCAGTGAATGGACAGCTGCCGATGACCTTACGAAACTTGAGATTGAGTCTTGTGGCAATAACTGTCCCAAACCATTATCATGCGATCATTATTGCACAAAGCTCTGCCACCCAGGACCTTGCCCCGGTCCAGAAACATGTACCAAGAAAATGATTATCAAATGTCCGTGCAAAAGAAGGAAAAAGGTTTATTTTTAGATTCACATTACGATAAATCAAAATTCTTGTGAAGAAAGATTTTTTAACCTGAAGCCATCTTGAAACTGACAATCTTTCCTTTTCGTTCATTTCTTTTTCATTTGTAAATAATTCACAGCAACGCAGTGCGCAACTTTCTTTCACTTCTAACAAAAGTGCTGCATTGACAAATGTTTTGTGTTATGGTTGTATGGTTGGGAAGCGATTGTTCATTCTGGCTATAAAAGATGATGATGTGACAACATCGTAAACATTTATATCGCTTATTGTACTTCAATGGAGCTTGACAATATTAACAATTTAATTCCTTATGATTTGGTTTCTGCGAGACTAACTACTTAAGCTTCTTCTATGTTTTTGTGCCGGTGGATCCGTATGCATATAATACAAAGATGCTGTAGCAAGAGTAAGGATAACTATCCTAATAACAATAATAAAACAATAATATGTTGTGTTTTGGTGTTATAGTTGCAAAATCTTGCTGAGTTTCATATTTTTAGAAATGTGGAAGAAATAACAACTCGTAAAAAAAATGTGACTATCATTGATGAAATAATTGCAATGATCTTTACAAAAAAAGTTGCTGTATAATAACCATATAGTTTTCATACTGAATTAAGCTCAATTGTTGAGGTATGTTATAATACCACTCAGAACATGATCGACTTTTTCATTTGATTATAAAATCTATTGACTGGTCTTCTTGATATTTTGGTGACAGATGTTTTCTTTTTCAGGATTTTGTTTGTCCAGAAGTTCGAAATGGAGCAAAAGTGGAATGTGATTCAGTGTGTGAAGAAATAAAAGCAAAGTCAAATGAGGTATTTTTAACTAAAGATTTTGTTTTAAGCATTTATTTGTAAATAAATGAGGAATCTGGATCGAAACAACTTGAATATTTTACTTATGCTTCAAGTTGTTTTATGTATCTGAATATTATATTTGAGTCTTAACATTATATTTGAGTTGTGGTAGTATATACCCCCATTCTTTCATTGTTGTTTGTTGATCTAGGTTGGTGTTGCTAATATCTTCTATCTCAATTTTATCATTTTGAATTACATAGGTACCCACTATGTTTTTGAAAACTCCAGCTGAATTTGTCACTTGCATGCGTCACTAGAAACGACGTCGTTTTAGGTCAATATTTTAAATCTTCGTTTTCGGGTCAGCGTATAGTCTACCCAATTATGAAAAGTATGATATAATCAATCTCCCATATCTTATTTGTCTGCTTACATTTCTGTGGTGTTTTGGTACATTTTTTATTTATAATACTTGCGTGTTAAGTACAATTTTGAATAATTTTTGTAGGAAAAGGAGGAGAAATTGAGACAAAAAAAAGATGAAGAGGCCAGAATTCGGCAAATAGAATTAGAGAAATTCGATCGAAGAATGCAAAAAACCTCAAAATCTCGCAGACGAAGAAAGTTGTCTGATCAAGTCGATGATGATAGCAACTCATCTATCATTAGAAACAAATATTTTCAAATACCGATGTTCCTCATTGTGATATCTGTTTTAGTTGCTTTTGCATATAATCTAGTTTTGCAATCCAAATGATTTTCATTGTGTATTACTCAAATCGCTAACTTGCATAGCGCAAACTTTTAAATTCTTTCAATCAATCAAACCTAGCATAGGTGCAATCTACATAAAGTACATCAGCAAATGATGTCTGGTGACAAATTAACAAGAAATATGTTTTATTTAGTGTTGTATTTCCTTTTCTCTCAAGTCAATTTATGTGTTATTTGAAGTTTAGTTCGTTGTATTGTTAATATATGGTGCTCACTATTTATCATAAAAGTGTAGTGTATTTCACGTGTGAATGGGGTGGCAATATAAATGCCCAAGGCTTAGCTGCCTCTGTATTTCATCTGGGAGAACTGAAACTGGCCAATTTTATACGCATTTGTATTTCTTGAATACCATCTAACTACCCTATAGAAGACGCATTTGCTCGAGCAGTTAGGAAGGCTATAACCTGTCCAGATTATCACATTTCATAGATTCCTGTCTCATGCTCCGCATCATATCAACAAACATTTCAGTTTTCTTTCTGGAATGGAAATATGAGATAGATTTTGTATCCATCCCAGGTATGATTAAACTTATTCGTTACAGAAGCAGACCAACGGTCTATTTGGACCACCCTAGAAGATACCAGGGAGTCGAGGAATCCTCTGGTAGACGAGGTTCCCCCATGGCATGATGCTTTATGTAGAGCAAAATTTGGTTATTCTCATAGACAGTATTATTTATCGCTTTGTATGTGTACCGAGTTAGGCCATAATGTTATTCCCGTTTTTTTTTAATTTTAGTTCTATTACGAGTTTGGGAACTGTCTGTTTTAGCCAAGTGAATATACCCCCTGCCCATAGGTTTCATTCCTATTACGCAACTTGATGTAAAGTAGGCGAACCATTGGAACAAAATTAGTTACCTCAGAATGGCACATTGGTACCCATACTTCTGGAGCGCCCATTTTTTCATGAAGACCTAAGGATTGCAGTAGTGTTGCCATTCTGACGCCAATACCATAAAATTACTATGATCTCTCAAAAAGAACCTATGACAGACCGCATGTTAAAAAAATGGTTGGTTTCACGGCAACTAGAAAAACAATTGCTGTCGATCAGGTGCAAACTAGGTATGTTTAAACTTATTGTTTTCTCTGTGTACAGATCGAATAACCTTTTCGGCTGCCTCATATTTGTAATACACGCCCACAAACTCTCCCAATTACGACTGACCAAATAAAAAATCTATGTAGGACCTACAAACCGGTTTTTCAGATTCAAAAAGCTTCCCCTACAATAAAAAGTGAATCAATCAGAACCAATTATCTCATTTTATGAACGAATAAAAACAACCAGAAAGTAACTACTTGAATGACGAATGGGGTATAATAGTCCATTAGCCAATTATGAATGCAGTACACTCCCTGATATTGAAAACAAAAAATGAAAATATTGATACAATATGTACATAAAAATATTATAATGGTCAGATGACGATATTAAAATATTGTTTAGAGAAAACAAAAGAAACTTTAGTAATAAAAACAAGGAACATGAGCTTTTGTTATTCCTACATTGACAACTGAATGTTTTCATTTATTTTTCACCAAAGAAATATGGAGGGGGGGAGGGTCATTTTTAAACAAAATGGCAGTAGTAATTAATTGCAATAAAATATACCCAACTGATGGTGTATATGGTACTTAACGATTCAAATTGATTGCGAAACTTCAGTTAGCAAACAAATAGGTTTGATAAGATGTCATCACTTCCGGAATATAACTGCAGTAAAATGACTGGGACTGGTCGGTTTTTCTTCATCAGGAACAAACAGAACCAACAACAATTCAAAATACAGAGTGTTCATCAATTTAGCTACAATTTCAAATTTTTTATAAAGCCAATTCTCAATATATGTTAATCAGGGTTGTTTTAAATTTAATCATTGCTCATTTATGTATTTTTAACTGCATTTAATGCTCCGGTAATGCCTGGCGGTGTCGATAAATTTCCTTCGCAATTTAAAGGTTTCATGAACACTCTGTATATTGGTATTGCTAAACACAAGAATGGATATTATACCTAGAATCTTTCACTTGTCAGAAAATTTTCTGTACAGTATATAATGCAGAGAAAGTAGTTTTGTTTTTCACATTTTTCATTCACGAAATGGATAGAGGGATAGCAATTATATGTATTAAGAGATGCGCTATACCCTAATTTGAAAAATATGTTTACATATATATGTATATAAATAAAAAAAAACATGGTATATCGGGGTAAAAAATTAATGAAATGGAAATACACTGTACATACTTTTATGTACATCAAAAATGATACACAGTACATTTAACAAAAAAAGAAATTAACATTTCAACCATGTAATGAAATTGTGTTTTAAAAATAAATGACAAAAAAATTTCTAACACATTGTATTCCAGGGAAAATGTGTAAATTTACATGTATTCCAAAGATTTAGACCAACTATGACCTGTTGATACTACTTGAAATTTGAGAGTCCATCATAACAAACAAGAAAAACTGAATGTTGCATTTAAATTTATGATAAGATGATGGAATCATTTTCATATTAGGGTTCAAAAAATCCCTGTAAATATTTCGCCTTGAATTTTTTGCAATTCGAAATCAATGGATAAATGATCATTTTTTTTAACGATTAGTTAGGTGTAAAATGTTGAAATAAGTTATCATTATTTCAAGTCTGCCAAGAGAATTGAAGGAATAACACAAATAAAATACATGTCACATTATATCCATTTGGTTTCGGTTGAAAAAACCTTTAGGCAATCATCATCAAAAATTGGTCAATGACCAAACAAATGTTTAATAATAACAGTGTCATGAATGTCACAGTGAGAAATTCATCATCTGATCATCCCTGGTCAATGAAGTGGCAAAAAAGAGCCTCAAAATCAATGCTCTGCCAAGTATGATCAGATGGCGAAGTCCTGGCTGATATATTTGACATTCTGAAACTTTTATCGATTGATTGCATTCACCATTTTTCTTCTGCTAATGGTTTACAATCATAAACCGATGTGTAAAAGTAACCTGCATTGAAATGCCGATTTCAAAGAGGTGCAGAGACCACAGGTGCAGGTGACATGGATGGTGTACTATTTGTAACATCAACCTCCATCCCACTACTGCAGTCAGAGTTCTGCCTTTCAATTTGTGAGGGCATATCTTCACAAAGGTTCAACTCGAAATTTGCAAGTTTCGCTGCAGCACATTTTTCACAGACATAATCTAACTCTCTTGCTTCCTCAGGAGATACTGAAACACAGACACAGTGGAACCATCCCTCACATCCTCCATCACATTGTAACCAATCGACTTCTTCCCCGGTTGGTTGTTGGCAAAACACTGAGCCACCAGTAGCTTCTTTAACGGCACAAAATGCATATTCATCGTCATCAAAAGCAACAAAAGTATCAAGAACGCTTTGCTTTCCTTCACTTTTTCTCTTCTTCTTCTTTTCATGTTTTTTATTGTCTTTTCCGGAGAATGGAGTCCCATCGGTTGAATTACGCTGTTTCTTTTTCCTTTTCTCAGCAAAGTTAGTTATGGCTACTTCCTCTTTCTTTTTCCGTTTTCTGTCGGCTTCTTTGTCAAGACTGTTAGATTTGAGTATTGTTTGGCTAGCTTCTGATTCACACAATTCTAAAAATTTTTCATCATTAATAGGTTGACTTGCCTGCAATATTTTCCATATCTGCTGAGTTTCATCCAAAGAAACTTCCAGCAAATCTCCTTCCATCATCAACTCTTCCAGTATCGTTTTCATCTCATCTGGGAGATCAATAAGAGGACCTTTTAAAATTTCCTCAGTTTCCTTTCTGAGTTCTTTTACTTCTAAAGAAGGTTCATCAACTACTTCAGCTGAAGCAACATCCTCTTTGGTGGAAGTAATATCTTCAGAATGAACTGGATGAGGTGGTGTTTGTTCAGACTTTTCTTCTTTTGAAGTTTGTTCGTAATCAGAAACTGCAATTGGTTGTTCAATAGCATTATCTTTTTTGTGATTATCATCAACCTTATCCATGTCTTTTATGGATGGCTCATTAGTAGTGCTGGTAATAACCGCTTTCACTTCAGTATCCGGTTGATGCGACGGATTGTTTTCTATTTTTGAAGCTGGATTAGTGCTCTCTACTTCAGCATTGACTTGAGATTGGTGATGATTTGAAGCACATGCTATCATTGCCAAAACTTCTGCTGCCTCCATTACATCTTCTTGTTCAGTATCTGTCTTTGATGCAGCAGATAGAAGAGCATCAACACCTGAGGAATCTACAGTCCTTGTCTCTTCCTGTGGACATGATTTTCGAAGAACACTATCAATTGTATCATTAATTGATTCAATTGAAGACATTCTTCTAGCAGTGGCAGATAAAGCTATTTCCGAGTTGTGTCCGTTTGTGAGGGAAATTTTAGGGACATCGGTTGAAATCTTTTTTTCTTGTTCCTGCCATAATTTTTCATTTTCTTTCATCTTCTTGTTTAGTTTTTTTATTATTGCTGCATACTCAGGGGCTTTTAAAATATCCCTTGCACGATCCTGCCAACTCATTGCACGTTCTGTCAAACACTGTAAAGCCTCACCTTCACGAATCCGAACAGGCAATTTCTGGAGTTGAAGCAAAAGAGATAAAATAACCTCTAACCGTGGTCTCCTTGAGCGATGGCATAAAGGACATAAAAATTTTAGCTCATAGACCTGTTGTACTTTGCTTTTTTCCTTATTAAATTTAATCGGTGGCACACAAGAAGTATGAAACCAGTCATGACAGAGTTCACATTGAAGCATGAACCCGGATGATGGACGTTTGCAAACACAGTACGAGTCGTTTTCGGATTTGACTTCAATATTTGTAGGTGTTATTGTGCTCTTTCTATTGTTCCGCGATCTCATATCTTTCATGACTTCTAGTTCTTTTTCTTCCATGTCCTTGAACTTTGCTACTACCTCAGCAGGGTCAATAGGATTTTTTATATCAAAATTATCCGTTTTGGCCCATTTTTCAATCATTTGTTGCTGCTCTGTCTGTGCATCTTTGATTTTTCTTCGCATTGCTTTCAAGTTAGTCTGACCCCTATTTTCTGCAGAACGAGGACTCAATACTTCAAACAAAGAGAATATTGTGTTTTTCTTTAGGAAAGCTCGACAAGTTCTCTCTTTCCATTCTTGTGCTGCTTCAACTTGTGTGTTTAAAATTGGTAACTGAGACAGTTTGACTTCCATAGAATTTGCTTGTAGAAGGAGAGCTTCCAAAACCTCAAGATATGGATAGTAATCCTGATTATGAATGGTATGCAACTTTTTCTCCCAAATGTTTGCTTTTTCAACCACTTCCTGTAGCTCAGCACAATGTATAAGTTGCACTGGAACATTTTGGGACTCGGATGTGATAACTTCTGCTGTTTTTAGACTGCCTTTTTCCTTCATTTCGAGAAAGCTTTTAGCCTTATCCTCCCATGCTTCTGAAAGATTGAGAAGTTCCTGCAACTCAGCCATTGCACGTTCAACAGCAGGCCTAGGTGACACAGACACACCAGAATCTATCAACTTCCTTAATTGCTCCAATGTTATCAATGATGGTGGAGGATCACAATCGTTCATTTCATCGTCCAATAGAAGACAAGATCTGACTTCTTCTAACCACTTTGCTTGTTGTAGTGCGTGGTGTAGTAACGTCACCTGTGGAAGTTCCAGATCAAAATCTAGTGAATCCTCTATCAAAACAGCAATGTTATGACTGCAAGGTTCTTCCTCTTGCAGAATAATTTCGGTTTGAGTAACGAATTTTTCAATTCGCTTTATATAATCAGAAACCTGATCCAAGTTTGGAATTGTGCATGGTAAACCCAATAGTTGTAGATAAAACGCCCTTATTTCTTCCAGCGTCAATAAACAAGTATTTGGATGAGTTATAATACCAGCTGTGGAATGAATTTCTTTTTGCCTAGTCCTGTGCTTTCTAACCACAACAAGCTGTTGGGCAACTCGTGAACACTTTTCGGCTTCCCGTACAGCTGACTGCAATTGATGCAGCAAATCATTTTCTGGAAATTTTCCTTGCACAGCTTCTTCAAGCAATTCTTTCAATTCGTGTAATGTATACTTGTTTTCAAATCTTGAAAACGCATCGCCTAATTTTGTAGTCCATGTATCAAAAGACTCTGCTCGCAATTTCATCTTATGAAGCAATGGAGGTAATTCATCCAATGTGTATCTATATCGAAGTATAAATTTACTTGGATCACAAGTGCTGCAGAGCCTGTTGACATGGAACGTACAGACAAGGTGATCTGGTCTACATGGGCATGTAATTGCGGACAAAAAGCATGCTGTTTTGCAGATGAAACACTGACGTTCATCATCGGGTACAACCTCAAAAGCTTCCCTTTCAGCTTGACATACACCAAGCTCATGAAGTTTCTTTCTTGCTTCTCTTTCCTCTTGCAGCATAGCAAGCATATCTCTGTAAACAGCAGCTGCAAGTTGAACATCTAAAACGTCAGGATTATTGGCGACTTTACATAAAATTTCTTCGTGTGAAAACACACATGCTCTTTTTACTGCGCGATAGTGAGCAACAGATTGTCTGCCAATAGGTATCCAATCAGCTGGACAAAAGTTCACAGCTTCTGCAAAGTTATATCCCTGATTAAAACCTGCATGATATGCCCTGGGGAAGGTAACAATGAATTCACCCGCACATTGGTTAGTTCGGACAACTCGCACACCATTGTTCATCAGAGTTGAAGGATTGATAGTGGTTACAAGATGATGCATAACATCAGGGTGGTTCTTGAATAGGTCAGGTGCGGTATTTTGCATTACTTCTTCCAGTTTGATTGCATCTTCTCTTGGAACACCATACCAAGTCTTTGGTTCTCCCCAGTGAAGATAATTGATAGAATATGTCCAATGATCTTCAATGTGCCAACAAAAAGCAGAGAAGCACATACCGACATAAACCCATGGTATTTTCATTCCTGACATGTCACCAGTCATATAACTTAGTAATGATTGTTTCGCAACTGGTAGATTGTTTAAATTCCATCCACTTTTTGCATAATCCTCTTCTTCAGCAGAAAGTGGATGTTTCTCTTTGTCGCACATTCTAGGAAATCCACTTCCGTGATTAAGAACATGAATATCGGCGCCATACTCCACTGCAACATCCTCTTCTATTGATCCAATTAATCTCCAGAATTCTCTTTCAACCAACTCAGTGGGGATCATGTGAACAGGTTTTGTAAAATATTCTGACTTAAAAGCATCAGCCATTTCTCCAAAACTTTGTAGTGTGTATTGCTTTCTTGCTTGTTCAAAACCATAAGCGTCTATGACTTTGTTGCATTCTTTGGACAAGCATTTTGGACATCGCCAATCCCCTTTGGGAACTTGGTTCAATGGTGGAATCAGACAGTAGGTATGGTAACTGTCATCACATCCATCACAGAGTAAAAGTTGAGTGTCATTGTGATCCTTCAGACAAACTTTACAATTACCCATTGTATCAAGAATGGAGTATGGGAGCTGTTCTGAACCCTTCTTTCGTGTGTTTATTGAGGTTGTGTCAACTGTTGCGGTAGGAATTGCAGTTTCTGGCTTTATCTTAGTTTCTATTTCCCCGTTGTAATCCATCAAATCAAATATATTTTTGCAATCCTCATTCTTCGGTTCTATTTTGATAGTAGCGGGTGCAGGTTCACTTTTAATTTCTTTTTTATTTGCCTCTTCTGATTTTATTCGATTTCTTCTCTTAGCAATTAATCCCAGGCCTACCATTTTTGGGCCTGCACCAAAAAGCTGCAATTTGGCAAGTTCTTTGTTATTTGATACGTCTACAACAAGAGATGGATCATCTATAGTTCTTCTTTTATTTTTCTGGCGGGCAGCTTCACTTTCATCTTCTTGCTCTCTCTGTGGTTTTACCTTGCTATTCCCTCCATATCTTCCTGAAAAACTTGGAAGTGGTTTCCCAGAGCCATCAAGGCTCTCAAGAAGAACGCCAGAAACCATTATGTCATATGGATACAGCAATCTTTCATAATGTTGTTTTATTGTTGCAGAAAAATTTTTTGCAACTCCTAACTTTACACATGCGGCATTCCATTGGCGGTTCTTGCAGACTTCTTCAAATCCCCCCAATTTCCTTACAGTCTCATGGAGACCATACAAATCTAAAGGAGAGCCGGCAATGTGTGGCAGTCTGAATGTAGTACCCTGTAATTCCCAAAACTTAGCTACTTTCTGAATGAATTGAAGTCGAATCCGAGTTTGAATACCTAATTCATTAAGTCTCTGTATTCTCGGTGTAAATTTGAAATTTTCTACGTCAATAGCAAATGGGGGTTGCCAATAAGGTGGAGGCCGTATTTTACAAATGCCTGCTTTTTCTGCTATAGGTCTGATCTTAGCAATGTATCCAAGTGGATGAGCAAATTCTTCTTCATTTGGCTCAAAAACTGGAGCCTCTGGAGGAGGAAAGAATTCATCATCAAACATATTGAATTTTTACATACAGCAGCTTATTAAGATCTTCAAATATGAAAACAAAATTCAGAAAAATTAATATGGATCTAATTAGATAGAATATTCATATTCATCCCGGGGGAGAGGAAAGTACAGCCTAATCATATGGCGAAGCATGGCCTCTCATTAAGTTACCAGTCCATGTCGGGATGGGATTAGTTAGCCAGTTATTAGTTTTCGGAAGCAAGGACTTGATGGTGGAGGAAGCAGTAACCGACCAGCGGTTATATGAACACCCTATGGCGGCGAGGAGTCCGGAAACCGTTTGCACATAACTAACCCTGCATGAGATCGGAACCCACGAACAGTAATCAGAGGTGCGGTGACAAGCATATTCCTAACACTTAGCATGATGCGCCACACCGCCGAGCCGGAAAGAGATATTTCAATTTCCTTAGCATGTCAATTGAAAAACAAAATCATTTGGTTGAGTTGTAATTCTGTTGTGTATTTGCACAATCTTGTACATAAATTAAGAATTTGATCACATTGAGAAGATATCAAAATTCTTTACTAAAAATTTAAATTGTCAATACATCATTTGCATTGAATATCATGTACCTGTAGGCTTACCGGTAAATAGTTTTATGTTTTTGTATATTTCCATGAGACAACTTCGCTTTGAATAAAGCCGGAAAAATATTCAACCATCACTGTCATCAAATATTCTTACGAATTCAATTTATTGTAACAAAGATTATTCAATTCAGTGATATTTAAAAATGATCATTCATCCTGATAAGTTGATTTGGCTAACTAGCGGAAGCCTAAATAAGGAGCTTACAAAGAGGGACAAGGTATCTGATCCAATCACAGAAATACTTTTTTCATCTGTAGTTTATTATTTTTATGTGTTGACATGATTCGGGTTGTAAACATTCCATTTTACACCAAATTTTAATAAATTTGACAAGAATTACCAAGATGGAATTGGTACACCAGTCATGAGGAAAGCAAATTTTTATTAAAATCAATGAACACCTGAATTTGTTTGATTAAGATTATAATTGACTAATATTACGAATGATTACGCCTAAACTCAACCCAATTCTAAACTCAAAATTCCAAAGTACTGAGGTATAAGGGTGGTCTGTGTTTATCATCCTTCATGCTGGTTAATATTATAAAAATGTTTTACATTTGCACTGCTGAGGCAGGTATTTAAGAGCAAATTTCATACTAGATAATAAGGAAGCAACAATTTCAGTATATACAGCTAAACGAAGGCGATAAATTCAGAAATCTCAGTACCCCGCATAGCATTTTTACGCTTCCTTAACGACTGACTGAACGGCGTCGGAAAATCGTAGATGAATTTAAATACACATCACACAGTCACAACATCGCCGTATATAAAGGATCTCACGAGAGAACGCGCACAATCAGATTGCATAACTTTTAAACTTAAACAGTCCAAAAACTTTATTTAATTCAACACAAAATTGTTTCGCGAAATGCAAAAAATCCAAACAGTTTTTAGATTCTCGCACACACAGACATATCGCCAAAATTGGATCTACTACATTATTATTTCTACGCTAATTTTCATACCAGGAAAAATCTGCCGAACGGTTATTTAATCCATTGCAAAAATATAACTTAAAATTATTCTAACTAAAATAAATTACCACACAGAAAAGAAAAATATTAGACGCACAAGACCCTGAGCACAATCCGTCGCCATTTTCGCTACGTGACCACTTGGTGTCCGTAAACACAAAGAAGAAAAAGGGCAATGACGCATTATGATGAGAAAAAGTTATTTCAGCAGAAAATAGAAAAAATGCAACCCGGCAAATTGTAATTATGTACGAATTTTGCATTTGCTCTGTTCTTTCCAGGGGCGTATATTGAGGGGTTCGTTTTTTATTATTCTGGGTTTAGCGCTGACAAATCGAAGACAAACAATACAATGCCTTACGCCAATCAGCCTACAATCGCAATCACGGAACTTACGAAAGACAATGTGAAATTTGTTATTGAAGATACAGATCTCAGTGTTGCAAATTCACTCCGCCGGGTATTTATTGCAGAGGTGAGAATTTCTGATACCGGTAACCAGGTAACCGAGAGGAACGGGATGGAGAACCCGGAGAGTTGGCTAAACCAAAGTTGGGTTCGCAGGTTCGAATCCCATGCAGGGATGGTTATGTGCGAGAGGATTTCTGGACTCCTCGCCGTCGTTGGGTGGTTCACGTAACCGCTGGTCGGTTCACGTAACCGCTGGTCGGTTACGACTTCCTCCACCACGAAGTCCATGCTTCCGAAAACAAACAATATAACTAATCCCATACCCGACTTGGAATGTTAACCGGACGAGAGGCCGTGGTTCGCCATATGGATAAGCCGTCTTTTCGGTTTTCCTCTCCCCCGGGATAAATATGTAAATCCTATCCTATCCTAAACTTGATATGAGTTTTGAACATGCCACATAAATGCACTAACGTGATGTAGGCAATTCAATATGAAAAAGCTGTCTTATCGACTATCCTCTCCCCCTGGATAAATTTTGAAGTCCTATCTTGTTGTAACATAGAGCGACCTAGAGATACCGTACTCCGACTTTAAGGGTATACCGGTACCCTAGCTGCTGAATTACCTTATTTTTTTATTGCCCATATCGGAAGCCGTGGAGCCACCCTTTTCTGGCGAGGAGTCTAAAAATCCTCTTGCACATAATTATCTCTCCCAGGATAATCAGAGGTGCGGTGGCGAGCGAATTTCTAATACTTAGCACAATAAATCACATTGTCTAATATTTCAAGTGTCATTTTGTGAAACATACCCGACACTCGCTTTCTATTTGCTTCCATGGCCATTACAGTCGTCAACTCCTAAGCTATCCCAGAGTCATCCTCAACTTTTAACCTAACTCATTCATTAATAACTTCATTCTTCTACCTGTACGCATGCATGAAATACAAATGTCTGTAACCATGGCATAGACTCAACAATAAAGATTACTAGAGTTCATGTTTCAATCTTATGAACTGGACTATCGGTGAATTAAAAAGTAGTGAAGTGTTATCCATTCTAATATTCTATATGAGACATGTTTCTTTGAAAAATTGTTTGTTTGTTGTGACTGCCCGTCTCACATTACTCTATTTAAATATTTTAAGGTTCCCACACTTGCGATTGACTGGATTCAAATTGAGGAAAATTCTTCAGTATTGAATGATGAATTTTTATCACATAGGATTGGATTGATTCCATTAACATCCGATGAGATAGTGGACAAAATTCAGGTAAATAGCAATAAGTAAAATTCAACCAAGCATATTTGAACGGGACCTATAGCAGGTCATTTTGTCTGTTCTCTATCTCTCATTGTTCCTCATTCTATGTTTCATACCTGGCTAGTTGATGTACTACAGTAATTAATACATAAGATTATTCAAACCAAAGTGATCATTTTTTATTTTACTGAAGAACGTATTTATCCTGATTTCAGTACTCAAGAGATTGTATGTGCGATGAATTCTGCCCAGAATGTTCAGTGGAATTTTATCTCGATGTCAAATGTACAAGTGAAAGCACGCGACAAGTTACTACTCGTGATTTAATATCCATGAATCCAAAGGTAAAATGGTATTCTTGAAATCAAAATTATCCATTAGATGCTATTTTTTTATTTTATTTATTCTGCTGTTTCATGAAAAATACTCATTTACTTATTATGGAATGAACAAACACTATCTGACTTTTCTAACCAATGTCTCGGTCATAATCATATCCAAATATTTTTTTCCAGTTTAAAACATTCTCATTATTTTGCTGGCTAATAGTAATTGCATAATACATAAACATTTTGTGTAACAAATGAATTGAATGCCGTTTGCATGTTAAACTAAGGTTGTTCCAGTTACATCGAGAAGTAGAGGAGACGAGGTTGAAAATTATGGAGAACAAGATGACATACTGATTGTTAAATTAAGAAAAGGACAATGTCTAAAATTCAAAGCTTATGCTAAAAAGGGATTTGGTAAGCGGGTTTCTTAATGTCTGTCTACTGTATAATGCTTTCGATGAGAAACATTCGTTGGATAAATGAAACTTTAATATAAATATAGGTAAGGAACATGCTAAATGGCAAACAGTTTGTGCATGTGCTTTCGAATATGACCCAGATAACGCACTTCGTCACACAACTTATCCAAAACCCGAAGAATGGCCTAGGAGCGAACACAGTGATCTCACAGATGATGATGATAGACATCAAGCAGAGTAAGTTGTCGTGGCTTTGTTTTAAAACCGCAATGAGCTACAGTAGCCATTAAATTTATTTATTTTTGTTCAGATTTGATCCGAATGGCAAAGCAAACAAATTTTTCGTCAATGTGGAATCTACAGGAGCCATAAAACCAGAGAACATCATTCTGTCAGGGCTCTCTGTTCTTAAGAAAAAGCTCAGTGACCTCCAAACACAGCTAAGCCACGAATTGCAGCAAGATGGACTAACTATCGCATGATGATGCTGAGAAAGGATCATTTGGTCATAAAGTACCACCACCTTCTGCATCACTAGTTTGTCTGGCTTCAGGTGGATCTACGTAGTTGAACATTTTAGGACCAATTTTTTCCAGATGATTCCTGCCACGTTGTCGCCAGAGTTTTTGACACATTTGTAATTTGATACATCGTCTGGCTGAACAGTTGTTGCACATCCTGTACCCATCTACAACTTTCCACTGCTCTTGTTTTAATTCTGGTGCAAGGACATTTTCGTTCTCGGGATTTTCCAATCGTTTGAAGATGATGAGTTCACCATTACTTCTTAAATGTGTCCCACCTATGTCCTCTTTGGTTGGGAGGCCATTTGGAAATTGAATTGGATGAATTCTGAAAATTTGATGGTACTTAGCAAGTTAGCATACGACAATAGTCTGTATTATTTGGCCGCTCTAAAGTTTGAATGTCAATCAAGGCCGTCCTAATTTACCACCACGAAAACTGAGCAAAATCATAATACCTGATTAAATGTTTGACCTGCCAAAGTTTCTCATTATTATTTGCTGTGTTCATCTGCACTGAAATGTCATTTACCTGTGAAGAAAGAATAAAATAGTAGGAATACTATTTATCTTATTGTAGTTATTCAGGATTTTAGGGATTTAAATACCAAAGAAATTCAGATTAAAGTTAATTTGTAGCAATTGCAATACACCACTTATTGATGTCGGTTAAGGACTTTATTTTGATACCTTGTACAGACCCATATCCTTCATTGCTTCTTTCTCCCAGTATGGGCGAAACTTCAGCTTGTGTATCTGTGTAACCATCCACAACTTTGGTGGTTCATCGAGTGGGTAGTCTGGATACATGTCAGTCCCTTTTTCAAACCTATGTATGGGTGGATATGTGAATCATCCATAGTTTTTTTAACTTAATCATGATCAGTATTTCTACAGAATAAAAAGCTTCCTCTAAACACCTTGTTACACGCTATCATAGTTTGCATATGCTAGTTCACTCACCCCAATCTTTGCGCAGTTTCATCAATAGATGGTAGCCGTTCAGGATAATGATTCCTTCCCATCCTTGGCACTTTATTTAGACAACTTGACTTCTGGATCAAGCGCCTGCATGTCACCAATAACGAGTGGGCACTTAGCATCATGTAAAAGAATACTGACTATGACAACTTGATGAAAATGATATATGAAGCAAAATAGGTAAGTTTGGCAGTGTAACATATAATGCAGAAAATGAAAAAAATACAGACACATTATGTGTTAAGAAGCGTTATCGAGACCTTGAATGGATGAAAACAGGTTTTCCCTAACTAACACTATCAGGATGAATTTTCTGGAAACATGGAAGTAGCATTTGTATTAAATAAAGTGAATGCGATATAGAGTTTGTAGTTGTGTGCAAAATTAGAACAATTGACAACGAATAAGGTAGAAAAAAGTTGTTTTACAGCAGCAGGGTATTATTCTACATCGTCCAACACTTTGCTGATACAAAAGCGAGTGAACAATGATTTTTAGAAAAGATAAGCAGTGGTTTAAAACATTTGATAAAGAAAAATCGCCTGTATAAAATAAAATACTGTTGCGAATTGTACATACAACAATGAAAGTAACAAATGGCACAATGAATAATAATGCTGAAGGTAAGTTCCCAATATACAACAGAAAAATTACAAGATCTGTGCAAGAATATAAAATATCTCATGTTAGCAAATACATGCAGCACCAACAGCTGTTATCCAAAAAAAAGTTATTTTCAGTAATAATATCTCACATTGGAGATATTTTTACGCCTGAGCAGTCTAATTTTATTAGTTTGGAATGATAATTTGTCAGATTTATTTTCAATATCTTCTTTAATAAGACCATGTTTCAGGGATGCATTGTAAAGTAATACTATCAAATTTCAGCACAGGGTAAGAAGATTGAAAATAAAGTTTAGGACTCCAGAAATGTGTCTCTAAGAACATCCATGCCAATAATATTCACATTAGGTCTCAGTCCTCAGCACTTTTTTGATGTGTTAATTCCAGTATACGAATCTGATCTGTGATTTGACTTTGGGCCCCATCTCCTCCCGGAGTCTGGTGCAATTCTATCAGTTCTTGACGACTGTCCATTTCGTCAGTATCATCTACATCAAACTGCTTGTGTGATGGAGCATACACTGAGAGTACCAGGAAAACATAAATATTCCATAACCCATAAACTCCTGTGAAAAAGGCAGAGTTAACCTCAACACGATGATCTCCAAAATCCAACATTCCATCATATTTTTGTGAAAGTATGTAAAACACAATTGTAAGGGCAGCAGTAGATATTGAAAGTATCATAAGGAGTCTAAACCTGAAGACGACTGTCTGGAAATTGTTCGCTTGTATAGAAGTAATGAATCTCTGCTTGTATGACATTATGCGAAAAACTTTAACAACCATGTAGCACAGCAGTAGAAAATAAATGCAACCAGCTACACTGGCAACCACAATGAGAATCATTGCAAAGTTGTGGTGCGTCCAAACTGTGGAACAAGGGTTCACCAACTGCATCCCACGTTCAGCAATATCAAAAGCTAACAGAGCAAACAGAGAAATAAAAATAGCACTCAAATGAAAACGATATGTTGAAAGCTTGTTGCGTTGTGAAGGATTCACCATATGTTCTCCCGTAAATATAATCCAAAAACCAAGCAGGATACCATAAAAGAAGCCCTGGCGAATATCTGTGAAGAATAGCATCCAGGGAGCTTCTATAAATATCGAAATCAATTCAATAGGTATATTCAAGAATAGAATTGAAATTCCCAAAGAGAATATGGCTTTTTCAATCAGTAGAGGTTTTCTTTCAAGAAGTTTGATTCTTCTCCAGAACCAGATTACCGGGAATATCATTAAGACCGTCATAACTGACTTGAGACTTGTCCACACCTGAGTAAAGCCACCATTTTGATGTATTGCAATCACAGACATTTCTTTTGCATTGCCGAACTGATTGTACATACCACCATCTTCAGTAACGTCAACCGGCAAACGAAGGTTGATCAGATAACGTTTATGTGGAATTGAGCCCAACTGAAACAGGTGCAGCAACTCACAATCATACTCATAATCTTCATGTTCTTCATCAAAATCATGATTGAAATTACATTCAAGTATGCGATCTTCTTCACATCTTGCCAAGGTTTTCCACGCCAATTTATCTCTTCTAACCGCAGAACTGTCCTCATTACTGTACAATATATGAATATCCAAACGCATCGGTGCATGTGAAACATAAGGATTATTAGTTTTATATGTTATTTTCACTTGAAGTAGGGCAAGTAGGTATTGAAACCATGGTGTCATTGTCATAATTCCAAGATTCCTCGGAATATGTGCTATAAGAACAAGATCGCTAGGATCTAATCCTGTAACTTTGACGCCTTGAAGATCTGTAACTGGGTCACAATTCTGCCTAGTGACAACACCAGACTTGTTTCCTTCGGGTATACAATTTGTCATAATGTGTTCTTGAGCACGAGCTGGAGGAGGAGCAATTAAACCACCAATCAGAAAAAATATGATTTGCACAATCAGAAGGAACATAAATAACATCACAAGCTTTCGGGTTGAAAGAATTTCAATAACTTTTCCCGCCATATTCAGTGTGTCTTTTGGAAACTGGTTTCAAAACTTCTTTAATATTTAAAATCTTAACTAACTATTTGCTGTGTAATTGAAATTGTTCAAAAACGCAAGGTCAAACAATAAACCTGCAATCTATTTAAGGTTAAAAATCACTATTGCCAGATTGCTGTATTGTACATAAGTATAAGTTTATTTCGACTCCATAATCAGCATAACAATAAAATGATTGGTAAAAATGTAAAATAAAAACTGATTACAAAATCAGGAGAGCAAACAAAACCTTAGATAAGGTTTAAAACGTACCGTACACAATGTATATAAGATGGAGGGTTTTGCCAAGAAGAAGCGGTACGTGTTCACTCACCTAAAATAATTGAAATATTTCACGCACGCTCCCACACACACAACCATACAGAAGTTATAAAGTAAGAAGACAAGATAAATTACATACTGGTAGTCAAAAAAAAAATAATATAGTCTATAAAAATTACCTGCCACACCATATTAATAAATTCATAATGTTTGCCACTGCCGAATTGATAGATTTTATAAATGGGAGTGAACAGTAAAGATAAACTTTTCTGAAAAATATATTGCCAAGCTGATCAGAGTCAATTGCCAAAAATTCCCAACCAAAGTTGTCAGAATTGCAAGTGCAGTTTTAAGTATTCTGTGGCGTCTGCAGCTGCCGCAAAACCATGGTTAACTGAATATAGTTAGCTCACGCTTTTTTCGTCTTTGTTTATTTATGTTACACTGTTCTCTCGTTACGCTTGAGCGATGCGTTATGGTATTCCTGGCGCGTGCGGTCCTCGGCTATCGGTGTAGAACTTATGACAGTATAGATAGGATATTTTTATGGAAAATTATGGAACGATTCGAGTTTGGAAAAAAACTTTATATCTATGATAAAAACACTGTATAGCAAAACTAACGCTGCTATTCTCACGAATGGATACTTACCGACTTAGCAGTAAGTGGATTGGAACACTGATTACTGGATTAATAATGAAAATCACAGATTTTATTTTGCGACCTTTAAAGCAAAACCAACTATTTGGAATTGGTGGGATTACCGTATCTAAAAATAAAATAAGAATTCTTGGTTCGTGAATGGGAAATACTGGAAATGCCATAGAAGAAAGTTGAGTTTAAGTGCAAGAAAAAATATTTTGAAAACCAGAAATATGATCATGACTGGCAAAATTATCAAAGGCAAGACTTTTATGTTATCAAAGCAATGTTCCCTCTAATTTTTGTAGTATGTGTGCGCAGAAATTTTGGTGTGTGCGCACTTTTTCGGAAATGACTAATATTTGTGCAAAAACCAATGAATAAATTTTGGCGTTCTAACCGGGTAATGGGTGGGCCAACAACAAACTTTCTCAACCTGCCAACCGAAAACATCGTTACATTACATCGAAATACGTCTGTGCGCAGTAAATCTATGCGTGTGCGCGGCCTCAGAAAGATGTGTGCGCGCGCACACGCGCACACCTTAGAGGGAACACTGTATCAAAGGTATGGTACCTATCTGCATTTGAATGTGTCCCAATGGATATTTCAAAAAATGTCACTGAACTAATTTGGAATTTTATAGGGAACAGTGGGATGGAAAACGTAAGTTAGTGACTAGGATAATATATTGCTGTAGTAAACCGTATTGTGGACTAGGTTGTATGGATATGATAACTCAAATTAAAAATATTGAAATTAAATGAATATTTTGGTTACTAAAATGTAGTAGAGCTCGAAAGCAAGAGTAATTATAAATAATTATGGCAAACGGTTGGTAACCTCAAATTTATAAACGCTTCATCTTTCTAATCATAATTTTAAAAATAGTAAAATACCCAAATTTTATACAACCATTTTTTAACATTTTAAAAGTTTGAACTTTCCAAGAAAAGTTGTATTTGATAAAAATTAAATAGTGAATGAAATATTATGGTGGAATCCTCTTATCCCATTGTCTATTCACCCAGAACATGTAGGGAATTGGATAAAGGAAATATCATTTATGTTAGGGACATTTTTCAAAAAAATTTGTGTTAATGTTACTTCAAATGTTATTGGTCATGCTGAGTGGAACTCATTGTCTATTGATAGTAAAAATGTTTATGAGAGAAGAATTTTTCGATGTCATACTGTGTATAGTAGAAGTTTTACTGATAGAATAGAAATTGTTATTAATAACAACTCTATGCATATAATGTATGAAAAAAAATACTGGCACAATGGATACTGGATAATTTAAATAATAAGGAAGTAATGCATATCTCTCAGGTGTTCCTAGCACCTCTTTATTTCAATATTAGGACTATAATTTTTCTACAAAATGTGTTACCAATAATAGGACTAATCAAAATTATATTCGAGCAAGGGGATACTTACCAATCAACCCTGCGAACAATGATCAAATGCAAGCTGAAAGCTGCAATCAAATATATGGGGGAAGAAAGAAAATTGAAAAGTAATGAGCGATGAATCATTGATGTGTTACTTGATAAATCTGTTATGGTTAAGTTTGTATAGTGTTATTTCATTTAATTTTCAAAGGTATCTATTTATTGTGGATCAGTGACATGGATAGTAAGTAGAAAAACCCTACAATCATGGTATGGAAGTTTTTCTTATTCCTAACAAATTTTTTGAATACGTCTCTTTTTTCCATTCAAATCTATGCCATATCTATTCTATCTATGCAAGGATAAATCTCAACACAGTGGTCGAAACCTTGTCGTGGTATGTTGGCTTGATACCAATATCGACCGGCAGTTTAAATACAAACATGTTACCTCCATAATACCATCTATTCAACCCTTATATTAGGAATAAAATAACTAACCCTTTTCGAAGGGCCAACATCTTATTCCAGTCCGCAGTGGATTCAATTGAAGTACAGTTTATTTTGGCCAAAGCATTGTTTTATTAGCGAATTGAAAAGAAAGCAAAATACATCCCATGGGCACAAGAGTGGAAGTGAATCTGATCCTTTGTTCATGAGGGGTATCAACGAGCCCTGAGAATTGTGGCAGGCAGTCTCTGGATGACCGCGGAATTCATTTTATTTACAAAAATGAACCTCCGAGGAATTCTAGGATATCATTTCCAGATCTAGGTATTTCACTCGCAATTTTGTCGGGCATTTCTTCTTTCTTTGTTATCAACTTTGTCTATAATTTCGTAATTTGCAGCTTCTGAGCCTGTCAGAACATGGGAGTTGATATTATGTTTTACAACAGTACTTTGGTATCTGACCAACAAATAACTCCTGATTTTTATTGCAACCAAAGCACTCCATCCACCCTTTCAACGTATTCACACCAAAAGCTGTACATCCGAATGTATACTCTCCATCAAACCATGTACAGATTTAACTGATATAGAGATAATTCTTCCGTATTGGAGTCAACCTTTATTGCACATACCCCATCCATTTCAGTGTGCATCAACTCGTCTATCACATCTGGTGTCAAGTATTCACTAGTGCCATTTTGAATAATTGATGCAGCAAATAAATATAAGCTTCGATAGAGAATTTAAATAGTATTCTGCATTGAAGGTAAAATACGAGTAAAAATGACTGAAGAACCACTTCGACTTTCAGGTTATTAAAAGCTGTGGTGATCACAACAACATATTGAAAGGTGTGTCAAGCAAAGTTAATTTTCATTCTATAAAAACTCCAGCATCTGAGTATAGCTTACTAGTTTACATTGATTCGTAACAGCTGACTCAGAATTCCATATTCTGGTATTTGAGTAATTAAGCAATTGTGGAGTTAGTCAATTAATACCTGAGTAATGAATACAAATAAATTTCCACCGGCATTAGGCGATGGTGAATAACAGTAAATGGAGGGGAAAAAATATGTATATACTCCTATATATCAGTGGATACAAGGTTAGAATGTGGTAAAATTGTTTCACCAGCAGGACAAATGATCGATTGCAGTTTAGTAGTACAGTATTACAAACTTATTTCCGCAATAATAAATATACTAAATAGAAACTCAAACTCTTTTTATCATCGAGGTTTGAAAAAACTTTCAACAGACCATTTTAAGATCTGTTTTTTTCACTGACGAATATTTCAGGCATTTTTCTTTGTTATAACTGTTTCTTGTTTAATAAATTTGCAGCATCTGAGTTTGCCAAAACATGGGACTTGAAAAGAGATTTTGCTACACAGCAGTACTTCAGTATTTAACCAATAATAAGCTAGTAATTTTTATTGCGACTGAAGCCTCCATCCATTCTTTTAATATAGATACTCCAAAATCTGAGAGCTGCACATTCGAAACTTATCTTAAGCTGGACTGCAGATAATCTGTGAAAATACAGTACCAGTACTTCTGTAGGCCCTGGGAATATCTAAATTCATAGTACTGTGCTATAATCCTGGGATAAACTTTCAATTACTATCCAATAAATCGCAGAACAGCAGAATTACTATGCCCCTACTCCCACTTTCAGACTTTCACAACTTACGGTATGGTACCGACGCAGGGATGACTGACAGATGCCACGACCCCCTACCTTATCCTAATGCCTCAGTATATATTTTCAGTTATTTCCATCAATAAAACCATTCCAAATACGCAAATAAATTTGAAAGGAAATCTTCTACCATAAGCTTCAGTATATAGCAAACTGATGACGTAGTAACGCATCGCTCATGCGTAGCGAAAGCGCCGTGGGCGAACTATATTCAGTTAACCATGGCAAAATCATAGCGGTATTTCCATACCGTGGCTGCCATGGGGGGAGCTGACTTGGATGACCGTATGGTCGTATCAGAGCCGTTATATAATGGCTATGGTCGTATCGCTCCCTCCAGTCTTTACCATAAACAGTGTTTATTTATTTGTATTTATGCTTTCATATTTATATTTGTTTTGGTTCCATTACATTTGAACCCATGACAATTGCACCTGTATGCTATTGCACCTATGGAATTTTTTTTGTTTCACGGATAGTTAAACCCATACTAACCCTTACCCATGGGTTTTAGCACCCGCATATAGATTGAACCCGTGGATATACGCATGGGTTCAAATGTACGGTCACCATTTGTTTTAGTTGACGAATCAATAAATCTCTCTCTCTCTCTCTGCTACGGCCAAACCTATGGCGACCAATGATGGCAACCATTGAGGTTATATAC